CCGCTCAGCGGCTCGGAGGCTCGGGTGGGTTCCGAAGCGGCCAGCTCCTCGTCAGACCTCGGGGGGGGGGGGTGATCAGGAAAGGACGGCAATGAGGAAAGAAACGATCGGAAGAATGGAAGGAGCAAAACATGCACTGGGATGAGAGAAGAAAGCAGTGAGAAATGAGGAACACAACATCCGATGATGACAGAAGAAACTGGGAAGGACGAGGAGAGTGGAATCCAGTGGAGCTGCGATGGAAAACACATGTCCACCGTACCAGTAGAAAACCGCGGAAAACAGGGCATTGAGTGGGGAGTGGCGGGTGGATACATCCGCATTGACATGCGTCTACCCAATGAACCGGACAGTTACAAGCTGGTGGGGAGGTTCACCAGGTTCTCTGCATACCAATTCTTATCAAATTCTCATCGCCTTTGGGTGGGATTCCTTGCTTTCACCAGCAAAAAGGGTGCTCTATCCCCATCAACCTCCTCTCCCCCTCCAAACATGCCTCTCATGATGTGTTCCACTTCGGCGGGTTCCATGGGAAAAAAAAACTCCGAACCCCTCCAGCCCCTCCCAGTTTTCACCGAGACGCATCAAGCCAAGCTCCGGCTCCGGTGGCCATGGCACTTGAATGACCCGTTCACTCGGGGGGGGCGCCACCCGTTCACTGGCTCAAAGGGCTGACAGATGCGAGGTTGAGAGAGGGTCGGTCTTCAGCAAGATCTGAACGCGAAGAATGCGAAGACTTCAAGAAAAGATCGAGTCGTCCAAATGCATCTTCTGGATTTAGACAACCATGATCAGTGAATTCATGGGTCAGCCAGTCATCCTTATGATGTTCTTCGACAACGAGTTGCTATGGGACTTGCTAAGACCTAAGGACTTTTGGGCAGCACCTGAAACACGAAGCTGGAGTCCTTTTCACCAGTTCTCGCTGCGTCGAAGAGACTTCGGAACCCGGAACTGGGCGGGAAACCGCAGGCGACCGCAGGTCTACATGTCAATTGGCCGCTGGAGGCATTGAATCTTCTCCAGGATCTCTGGTGCGAGTTCAATTTCACACGCCTGCAGGACCTAAGAAGTTGGTCAGGTCCTTTGATAGATCCTTCCACGAGCTGCTCAACACCCCAAGGAAGGTGGATCTAAGCACCAAGTCATCGGATCCTTCGATGATCCTTCCACCTTCTAAGCGCCCTCAGCACCGCCCACATGATCTGCTCGTTGGCGTCCGGTGCCACTGAGGCGAAGAGCGAACCGGACATGGTGTCCAGGGCCGGGTTGGATCGCGAACCCTGCTGGCTGGGTGGGGTGCGAGTGCGACTCCGCCGTCGAGCTGTTTGAAGCCTCCTCCCCCCCACCGTGGTCGGACTTTTTGCGAAGGAGTCCGCGCAGGCGACCGAGCAGATCGCGCGGGCGGCCGGGCAGGAGATCGCGAAGGCGACCGAGGCTTGAATGGGCGATGGCGATCTTTGAGAGCAGATTCCAGGGCGATGGGTGGTGTTTTGGGCGGCGGATCTTGAGGCGGATCTATGGAAGGCTTGAGGAGGAGACCTCGCTCGATGCCTGGCAAGCCACCCATGCACCAATAGTAGTGTTCTGAAACGTTTCTCAGGATGATTCCAATCCGTTTTGCTGGGATCAGGAAAGCCACATTCGTCATGCGGCTTTGTCGTCACTTTCCAACCTGGATCCACAACTAGGTCTCTGTAGGCCTTTCGATTGAAATGCATGTAGTCCTTCTCTTCGACTCTGTCCCTCTTGCCCTGAAGCCACTCTTAACTTCACGCACTGCGGCTGCCTCATCTATCATCGACTTCTTCGGCCAAAGTATCCTTGGTGCTGGTGGTGGTGCATTCGGATGCTCAAAATAAAACATATAATATTTTTTTTTTTCCGGCTCTTTTCCGCAGTGGAAGGTCATCGCTGGTCTCATGCCAGCCAAGTTCTGATGTCGATTGATCGCGGCCTGGAACACGGGCTGCGGAGCTTCTGAGTCAAGTTGATCTCCTCGCCTTGGATGCGTGTGCGGAGGTGGCACAGGTTGCACTCCAAGCTGTTGCCAGTGCGGAGCATCTCGTGTGTAGGGTGCCCGAACCATTTGCTGGCCTCGAGAGGTCCATGATGGCAGACCTCTCCCAGGAAGCGGTGGAAGATTTCCTCACCTGCTCTAGCCAACACGTACCCTTTGCAACGGTCGCACCTGAGGTACGCTTTGTCAAGCCGTAGATGGTGTGTGCCTTCAACTACCTCGCCTTGGGCGTCCAAGAGATCGTGTATGACCTCGAAGCGGGTCTTCTTGGAAGTTCGACCTGGCACAGCATGCGTGCAAGCTTGTGCGAGGCCTTCCTTGATCTCATTGACCATGGACTTTGAATGAAATCGCTGCTTGCATTGGGTGCATTGCACTCCCGATCTGTAAGCTATCCATTGATGTCCCAAGGCACTGGGTTGAGACAGGAATTGCTCCAGCAGCTGCTTCTTCTGAGTAGCAAGGGGTATTTTCTGACTGTCAGGAATCTCCTCTCGCTTGTGAATGAAGTGGGCTTTGTCTTTGAGGAGAAACTCAATTCGTCTTGCTGCCACGTGAAGGATGTCTCTGGTGTCTTCGTCGATGTGGCGTTGGAGATCGAGGGTCTCCTCTGGCCTGGCAAGGAGAGCTGCCTGGGTGGCCTTTGCCTGTGTGTCTTGCTGGAAGGCCAGACGATTTGGGCTGGAGTGCATTTGCTTGGTCTGGAAAAGGAGCAACCTGATCTGAGCAAAGTCCTCATGCTCCAGCCCTTGAGTGAGATCAGGGAATTTGGCATATGCCGTCCATGGATTCCAAGCGTCCCAGATGGCCTGACTGAAAACTGCCACATGAGCCTTGTCCCTCAAGTGAACTTCAAACCATAGAAGAGTGCTCGGAGACGTGTGGCTTCCCCTGGACAAATGCCGGTTAAGGAACCAACTCTCTCTTTGGTCTGGATGTGGTGGACGCAAATCGCAAAGGCAAATCTCTTGTGCCGAGGGTCTCTGCAAGTGGGTGCAACGGCTAGAGAGACAGCATGCCCAGGAGGGAGATGGCACGCCTCTAAAGCTTCCCAGAGCCCTTCTCCATTGAAGGTTGCCATTCCCCCATCTTTGATGTAGAAGATGGACTGAGTCATGCCTCGGTTCCACAGCTCCGGTTCTGTGCCTGCTTGAAGACGCTCCCGCCACTGGTCCGGGAGGGCAGGGACCTTGCCGTCCCAAAAGGTGCACTCCCACAGAAGGTGGATGAAAGTGAGCTCAACACCGCACAGTGGACACTTGCCGGACTGGCCATGGAAAGTGCCTTGATGGAAGGCTCTCAAGGCAGAGTTGAAGCGCTCCGTGGAAATCTTCTGGAGCGTATTGCTGACCGTCCAATCCAAAGGACGTTCCAAATCGTGGCAACCCACATGCCTTGTCAGCCGGAGGAGTCGTTGCCAGCGAAATTCCTCTTGGAGCTTCTGATGGATCTCAGGCCAACCATCCGTCAGGCAAAGATGACAGTCAGGAATGCCTCCATAGCCGATTCTCTTCCACAGTTTGCCATTTGAGATGTCGAAATCATAGTCGAGGAGGTAGGCTTGGACCAGTCACAACTTGCCACCTGTATTTGGCTTTGAGGAGAATGTCCAAAGCTGAATTCCAGCTGATCCAAAAGAGGTGCTGGGCACTGTCGTCAAAGGCATGGAAAATCTTCCAGACCGTGTGGATGTGCTGAAGGATGATTGAGTCGCCCGGGTCTGGTTTGTTGGGATGCATGTCGAAGACAACATCAACGGAACCAGACCGCTGGAGGCGAAGACCCCGGGCAGCCATGACGCGGATTTGTTGTCTTCTTTGAGGGGCCAGCCCATTGGCCTGAGCGCCCCAGGTCATCACTGGATGAATGGCTCCTCGATGCAGCCTGTATTTGATGCTGGGATTGAGCTTGAGGCGCATCATGATCCCAGCTCTGCCTCTGCCCTTGAGGTATCGCTTCTTGATTTGTGCGACCCTTCTCCTCTTGGAGTTTGTGGCGTCAATGCCAAGGTCTCGAAGAACATTGTGGTGCTGAGGATCCCCTGGTTGCAGGTTGATGTCCAGGGCTTTTGCGGCCTCCTTGCTGCTGGTGAGGAACCCGGTTTTCTCAGAGTTGATCTTGAGTCCAGCCTGCTCAAGGCGTTGCTTCAGGGTGCGGAAAGCCAGGATGGCTTCACGGGCAACATAGTCAGGATCCCTGCCTTTGATGTCATAGGAGACATCGTCCACCCAAGTCTGCAGCTGAACGGCGGGGTGAGTTTGGACCAAATCTCGGAGAGGTCGGAAGAGGACCAATTTGGCTATTGCCGGAGCTTGAGGACAACCTTGAAGGATGCCTTTCTCATAGTAGGTGGGATTGCCTGCAATGCCTTCTGCCTGGATGAGCCTCGGGCCAGTGTAAAGGTCAAGCGCAAGCTTCAAGTGCAGCGGTGGATAATGGAGTTCTTCGGCTGGTTCAATGAGGTGGTCAAGCTGCACTGTGTCGTAAAAGCAGGTGAGGTCTGCCAAACAGGTCACAGTGTGGATGCCTTGGTGCTTGCCAATCTCAGCCTTCAACATTCGCCCGACCGCGATGGAAAGGCAGTCTTTGTGAGGGCGTGCAAAGTCCCATGGCATATCCTGGTCCAAAGACAGCTGCCAGCGATGGAGCTCATGCTTCCGGTAAGAGTTCCACAGCCGGTAAAGGCAAGATGTAAGGGCAATGGGCCGCTCGATGCGCTCATTCTTTGGGATCATGACAATGTTGGTGTGTCGAAGCTGGATGGGAAGTTCAGCCGAGCGCTCCATCTCGGTGAGTAAAGAGGCCAACCTGGAAACCGCCGGGTAGGGGAGATGCCGAAGGAAATCGTAAGAGATGCCATCCGGTCCGGCTGCCTTGTTGGGGAGCTTCCTCATGAGTTTGCCCAGGAGAGCCGTGTCAACTGGAGGTAGTTGAGCAGCTGCCGCTTGTGCAATCCGTCGCAACTCCTGAATGCCTCTAATGTGGCATGGGGCCGGAAGCGGTTTCCAGATCTCTCCCCATTGCTGTTCTCGAGCTGGAATCCTCTGTGTGTGTGGAATGTCCTGGAAGGGTCGTTTCCAGCAATGGTCTTTTTGACGTAGACTTCTGAAGAGGCCCCTGAGGCCCTTGTCATGAGCCTTTTCCAGCCATTCTCTGAACTCGTGGTTGGTGGCACTAAGAAGTTGCTGTTGAGCTCTGATGGACTGTGGCTTGCAGCTCGGCAGGGTCAATGGCCGCTCCAAAGGTCCACTGGGTGAGTCTCTCAACAAAGTGTGGCTGATCCAATTGTTTCGAGGCATGGTGAGCAAGCCTCTCCAGCATCTGTCGCAGATCATGCAGGACGCTGGGGTGTCTCTTGCGCTGAGCCACGTTGATCCTAACTCCCATCCTCTCCCAGTAGGCAGCGCTGCCTTTCTTCCAGACCTGTGGTTTGGAGGAGTCAATCAAGGGAGCTTGGAAGAGCCTGATGTGTGATCCTCGGCCCGTTGTTGGCTTCTGCAAGGTCTGACACAGGTACTTTTCAGTCTGTGTGGCCCATCTGGCAAAGTCTGAACCCAACCCAGTGATGGTCTGCCCAATGATCTCAAAAGGGCCATCATCTTCGTTGTAAGAAGTCCAGTTGTTCGGAAGTTGGTAGACCCTTGCGATGGGTGGGAACCGCTGAAGTTGCTGAACTGGCACGGCCCCAGTGGAGCAATTCAGCTGCAGAGAGAGAGCACAGTGCGGCTTCCAAGGAACTTCCCAATCCGCTTCCATGGTGACGAAACTGGCCAGAGAGGTGGAAACAAGGCAGAAGTCGAGGTGGCTGCCCTGAAGTGTCGTGGGCCCTGTGGTGGCCACAATCTGCGCTCTCATCTTGCTGGGGATGTTGGTTGCCGCCAGCTCCTCCGGGGAAGTTTGCCAGTCGCCGCCGACAATGAAGGGTGCTTGGAGATGGTCCAAGAAGTGAAGCAACTGTCCGAGGATGTCTGCATTCAGCGTTGACTGCAGGGTTTCGCCAGTTCTGAGGTAGAGCTGGACGAGATAGATGTTTTGGCCTTGACGCTCCATACATAAGGCTGTCCATCCATTGCCCTGCTTGGTGTAGTCGTGGACGTGATGGATGAGGTGTCGGGCAGGATGAAGAGTGATGAAACCCCCGGTTGAGCCTCCATTGCCCGTGGGCTCAGCTGCCACTCCATGACATTTCCATCCTCTGGTGGAGAAGTACTGCATGGTGTTATCGAGACTAGCTGTCTGCAGGTGTGTTTCTTGAAGCATCAAGATGGTGTCAGCCTTTGTCCAAATCCAGTCTTGTACTTTCTTGCCAAAGAAGGTGACATTGCCGAAGAGCAACTGCAAAACCTCTTGCGCCTTCTTGGGCTTCTTGGCCAAAGTCTCCGCAATCTCAATGGCCGTGTCAGGGACCAGTTCCGCCGGACTGGAGAGGACCAGCCAGACCTGAGAGATCTCCTTCATCTGTTGAGGCGAGATGAAGGAAATTGGAGTGGGGTAGGTTTCATCGTCCCCCAGCCAGTAGGCATTGTCTATGGCCAAGATGCTTTGGTAATGACCATTCTCATGGCCTTCTCCCTGGTGCAAAACCATAGCCACGATCTGGTAGGAGGCATAGTGCACATTGATGCCATCCTCAGAGAAGGGGATGTTGAGTCTCGTGGGAATTTCAACTTCTCGATGATGCTTGGTCCATTGCCCTTGATGGTGGGTGGACCGCTGCAGATTCAGGACCAGCCCCCCTGGGGACACATACAAGTACTGTCCATTGCCCTCATCTGCCCAGTGGTTGATGAGGTCGTCCAGGGTGGCAAAGGCCGGATCATCGGGGAAGAGTAGATTGAGCGGGAATTGTTCTCGTTCTTCGAGTTGTCCTCTGGTGCTCCGATGGAAGAATCTCCCTTCGAAGAAGGTGCTGCCCGCAAAGGACCATAAGGAATGCAGGAAATCTGCCGCATCAGCTTGATCATCCGCCTTGAAAGGAGCCCAGACTTGGTGCATGTCGTGAAGGCCTTCAAGGAGTTGAGGCACGCTGTCAGACAAGTATTGCCGGACTGCTCGGTGTGTTCTGCCCCAAGCCAATGCTGCGTCTTCAGCAAAGCCTCCCGCCCAGCACCAGCATCTCCAGGGTGCATTGCCAAAGCACTTGTTCTTGGGGTTGTGAAGAATGCTGGTGAGGCATTGGGAGATCACAAAAATGTTGGCCATCGAGTGTTCCACTTCTCCAGGTACCTGAAGGTGTTTGTGCACCAGGTTCTGCATGCGTTTGAGGTCCATGAGCAGCTGCTGCCCATTGTGGAGGGTCTGATGATTGCTGTAGGCCTGACTCGAAGTGTTCAGGTCCTGCACGCACAAGTTGTAGAGAGTTTGTTGCTCAAAGGACATTTGATTGTCCTGTTCATCCACCGTATGCAGCATCCTGGTCAGGGCTCGGATGGCGGAGGTCCCGAAAGTAGCAGTCTCCTGACGGGGCTGCTCTGAGGTAGGTGAGCTCGGTGCCTCCGGATCCGCCTGACACGGTGCCGCCTTGGAAGTAGTCAAAATCGCCCCCCCCAGGATCTTGGGGCCGCCAGTGTGTCTCCGGCAGGGCCCATAGCCCGAAGGTGGAAAAGGGCGGCTCGTGCTTGAGCCTGATTGCAAAGGTGATTCAACATGAAGCGCAAACCCCCTGCACTCATGTGAAGGTGTCCCCTGTTCATGGACAAGGTGCCATGAATCAATCCCCAAAGTAGACTGTTCACAGGCTGAGACTGAGGATGGGCTGTTACCCACCCGACGTTTGGCTGCCCGGTGCTGTCTTGCGTCGTTTGGCCTCTTCCTCAGCATCAGCCTCGTTTGATGGCCTCTTCAACATGACATGAAGTTGGTCTTTTTGCTCCTGGGTGAGGTTGAGTCCAAGTGTGCTCAGAAAACCGGAAACTGCCTCAGGGACTGAGTCTTTCATCTCAGTGTCCAGAGGTTGCAGTGGTTGTTCCATCTGCATGGCGCTGACTTTGGTCATGTAGGCCGTGCTGATGGTGTTAAGGGAGCTCTGTTCAAGTTCAAGCTTAGTCTGTAGAGATTTCATCTCATCTAGCAAGTCCTGGTAGTGCTTCTTGGTGCTGTCAATCTTCTGTTGCAGGATCTGCTTCCGATGCGAGATGTCCCTCAGAGTGGAGACTTGCTGCTTGAGCTTCTGGGCCATCTCCTTTTCTGACTCTGGTTGTGGCTTGGTGATTCTCTCAACCAGTTCCTTCACAGGTGCCGGAAGGCTGGCCAAATTCTCCTTGAGCACATCCGTGAGGTCAGGTTCAGTTGTTTTGGGCGTCGGATTGATGCCCAATTCGGTGAGCTTGGCCTTCATGGTTGGATCCATGGTGTCCCATGCTGGGGCTAAGATCTCCGCTGCATTCTTCTGGAGGCGTCCTGGCTTGGGTGGTCTAGCATGTGGAAGACCTGGAGGAGGGGTCAAAGATCTCGTTTGCCGAGTCTGCCATCGCCTCCCTGGCCGGTAGTTGGAGGTCTTGCCAGCCACTCCATGAGTTGGTTGCTTCCAAGCAGCGCCACAATGCCGGCATGTATATCCAGGTTGGATCCTGTCTTCCCAAATCCAGTTCCTGCAGGTGCCCGAGGTGCAGATCTGGTAAGTCCTCGAGGCCCAGTCCATGGGAGCTTCCGGAGGTAGAGTCAGAAGAAGGTGCCTCGCTCCTCGTCAAGGATGATGTGCTCGAAGACACGAAGTGCCAAGGCGAAAGGTGGCGTCCTGATCCTTGAACCGAGAAGGCTTGAGCCAAAACAAAACATATAATATATATATAATATGCATATATAGAATAGTTCTGGGTGAGGAGGCTCGTTTTTCTCGGTCCCTCCCAGGTCTGGAAAGGATCGGAGGTCCCTCTCAGAAGTACCCAAGGACCCAGAGGACCAACCACCCTGTGTATTGTCAACAAGAACATACAAGAACTGATGCCCATGTATTTCCTGTGTATAGTTGTTGAATTTGGTTGACCTATATGAACTCCATTCTGGGAAAGCAACGGTTCGTCCCAGGCCACACATACGCTCGAAACACACCGACCAACCCTCTTTGACCCAACGTGGGGTGCTCACGCCGGTTCGCTCCACTTCGGCGTACTTCGTGCGTCTTTTTCGTTCATTGTCTTCTTGCTGGGGAGCAAACTGAGCTAGCATTGAAGTTTTTTTCATACACTTCACCACAGTTGTGCAAAGTAGATTTCACATCCCAAACGGATTGAACTGAACAGGTCCAATGGTTGCTATACGGTTATGAGCTGATCAAACAATGTCCAGTTAAGCGCGCTGCGGCGTTTGAGGCACCATCGGAAACGAGGAATCACCCAGAGCTAACAACTTACATGTAGCAAAACAAACAACTCTCACAACTGGTGCACAACTCTTGACATTGGGCTAGCCGCAACACTCATTGGTTGCCAGGGTGTACGTTAACAGGGGCCAGCCACAACTCCAACAAGACATAGATTGATCCTATGGAGTCAGGGATACAGACTCGCCGCCGCCCGATGGGATTGAAAGTATGGGACCTTGATCACGCCGGGTAGAACGTGAAATCCAGAGAAGATTGGTGACTTGTAGTTGCAGTCTCTAACCACAAAGAAATTTTCGGGATTTAGACCTTGGCCAGGCCTCCCAACGCGCTTCTCAAAGATTCGGTTGTGGATGCTCGTGGTGATCAGCTCCTCCTGCGTGGCCCAGTCGTGAGACGATTCCACAACAAAATCGATTTGTTCAGGAAAGCAAAGAGATCCCATTCTGATCATTCGTCAGAACTCCAGGAACTACAGGAATCATCTGTGATTCTCGAGATCATCATCGATGGCGTCCTTTCAATCCCGAAAAACCAAGCGAATGATCGCAAGCGCTGAGGCTTCGTGGAGCTTGTGAGACAGATTCTTCATCGACTTCATCGTTACTGTAAGACGACCCTAATCGATATTGCGGTCAAACTGGTGTAAAGGAATTTGTGAAGATGTATGGCGTAAAGTGCCCTAGTTCACAAACAATCCCAAATGAGCACAAGTCCAACACCCTTGACACACGCATTGGAAAAAAAAAGTAAGATGTGCGTGCCCTGTCCGATCAAGTAACTTATCCAAATTATATATGTGTTTGAGTGTTTGATATGTCTCTAGCACCGAATGTCCCGAAGAAGTCTACCACCTCTTCACCTCCGACACCCGTAAAAGTGTACCACCTCTTCACCTCTCCAACCACTTCGTTTCTTTCCGTTCGTCCACTTCGGCTCTGCCGTCGCGCCTTGTGTCGCGGTCGCGCTCGCTGCTCCGCTCCGCTGCAGGCGACGAGAGGTGCAGACCGGTGCAGATGACCGACTGAGCATGATGACCTGACTCGGCCAATGGAAGGATTCCAAGGGACTCCTTAAAGACCAGGCAGAATAGTGGTAACCACTGTACAGTAACCACTCAACATACTCTCGATATCAATCTATCTTACATCATATCATATTGATATCAATAATGGAACACCAAAGCATTGGTGGGCTTCCACCCTGAAGATCCCTGCAGAAGGATTCACCAAGAGTGAATGCTCCTAGTGTCTCCTGCTCATCAACCGAATCGCAACAGAAATCCAAACAAATCCAAATCACAACCACTTCACCCAGGCCTTCACTCAGCCTCCGTCGCTCCAGCGCGGCGCGGCGCTCACACGTGGTGCTCGTCTTCCTGCTCCGAGCTCGGCCAGCCTGGCTTCGCCTGGGCGGTGTGCGGCGCAGGGCGCGGGGGCACGTGTGCTTGGGGTTGGTGGATTTATCAGTTGACGTTTCGTGGGGAGATACAGTTCCATCCATGGAGTGGATGAAAAGTGGATACAGCAGTTGATCCAAGGAGGATCTCTGCAGTTGATGTGTTTCGTGGCGAGGATCCATAAGGATCCTCTACTTCGTGGATCCTCCAAGGAGGATTCATGCCAGATTCAGATCCATGAGGATCTATGAGGATCCTGTGAAAAAAAATGATTGGGGAGGTCGACCACCATATCGGTGGGTTCCTAGATATCCTAGCGATTGATGGAGCTCACCGTGGCTGCGTGATGAGGAACCTGTCCAAAGAACATGCCTTCTGAGCCGCCAATGTCTCAAGGCAATCGTCCCCCTTCACAGGTTCGTGTTGATCCGTTTTGATGCGTTTGGTGTGAGCACATGACGGGCAAATCCGGGCAAATGCTGAGGTTTCTGCTTGCTTTTAGCTCTGCAATCTGCCATGGCCTGGAGCACGCGCTCATCTGAAAGCTGCCCACTCCATGAAGACATGTAGAACTTCTGAGACTTCCTACGGTCCTACAGGTGGTAGGAGGGATCAATCTGAGAGATGCCAGACATTGCAACTATATATTCTTCAGAAGAAACATCCTTGACGTCATTCTTCGGGTCCAAAAGCTGGGCTCACATCCCTGTTCTCTCTGCGCATTTGGCCAATGTGCTTCCTCGCCCCTCCTCCAAAGAAAAAACAAAGACTGTAAACGAAATATAGCTCAGCTCGAAGAAACGCCCCCGGGGTGCTGACCCGATCCCAGCCGCTTCCAAGCGAACCAGCAATTCACTCGCCTCCAGGGGACCAGCTGCGGGAGAATCCAAAAAGAAAAGCCGGTCCAGTTTTTGGGAACTTGTGTGAACTTGTCCTTCTTATCGAGATTCAAGCGGAATCTCCTTTAAACAAATCCACAACTTCATTTCTGTGAGGTCTTTGTTTTGTCCTGTCTTGTTATTGATATCAATCCGTTGTGTTCAAAGCAAAGGGAAGGCCTCGATGTGTCTGGAATTCTCAAGGAAAACAGATCTCCATTTTGCTTTCACCAGTTTGCTTTCAGTGGTTGTTTTGGTGCAAGTAGAGGTGAAGAATCTCGCTGAACATCCAGTAAGCCAGCAGAACTACGCAGAACGGAAGCTTCTGTCAAGGCACAGGTCAATGGTGGAGTCCCTTTACAAATTCTCAAGCAAATGCGCGGAGCCTCCGGTGCAACGGATGGAAGGGGCCTCAGTAAAGGGTCTGTCAAACAGCGCTGGGTCTGTAAAGACTTTTGATGTCTTTTCTTGTGACGCTGTGGCGAGATTGGCATGGATATCTAGTGGCAGTGGTTTGACAAGTAATTTCAAGATCAATATCTTGCCATGGAACCTCATCCAAGACCTCCCAGCCTCATCATTCCATGTCAGGGATAATTTCTTCTGATCATCCTAATCAGTCATGATCCAATGACATGGACCTACATGAATGTCAAAAGCTGCCCCTATAACCAAAACATGCAGCAATGACACGACCATCTCCACTATACTTAAGTCTCCCCACTGACGGCAGCGTTCACAGTGACGCTCCGCATGCTCCCCATGCGCACACGGCACCGAGTCGGTGGAAGGCCGTGGTGGGCGAGAGCGCCGACCTGTACGGGGCAACCCACTGCCCCAACGCTTCCCACGGTTCAGCGGGTCCTCATTAAATGGGCGCTCCCGGTTTATGCAAAAAGAAGATAGGTCAGTCAGTCTCAAGATATCTAGAAGCGTCAGTCGCCTTCCATCAGGACTGTCTGCATTTGTTAGACCAAAAAATGAACCATGCCCGCTGACGAGGCACGTTTTGCAGATGAAGAAAAAGCAAACTCATCCATCCGTGCAGAGCAACACTCGTTCTGCAATGCAACAATGCAAAAAGAACACTTGACAAAAAAGAACAACATGTCTTCAAGGTCCACAAGATAGCATGAGTTAAAGGTCTGCAAAATAGCTGAGAACATGTGTTGAGCTGCTGAGGACATGTGGAACGCTATACATGATTCGCTGACCACGAAGGCGCCTTGGCTCTGTGCTGGGGAAGTGCTTGGGCTGCTGTCAGCTTGATTTGCGCCCAGCATTCCTGACACATCCAAACGGAAGAGTCTTGCTGCATCCAACAAAACACGCAGAGGGGGGGGGTCTGTGTCTCTACTGTCTTGCCAAGGCCAAGAGTGTCCCTTGGCAAGCATCTCTTTCAGGTGCCGTGGAAACACACCAAGGGAAGATTCGCACATCAACGAGCTATTTAGTGATGCCAATTTGATGGGTGTCTTAGTCTTCGAAAAAAAAAAAAAGCTTGCAGTGGAAAAAACATACTTTGTAGTCATGGCATACTCTTGGCATTCTCAAAAATGCAATGCACGAGATGTTCTTCGTGCTTGCACTGTGTGACTTCCAATCTTCGGCTCCTGATGCTGGCAGGCACGGCATGCCTGGCATCGACATGGTCCATGTTCTTCCCAAAAAAAATAGATAAACGGCCATAGAAACATGGCACGGCCCCAAGAAGCATACAGTTACCTTTTTTGAAAGGAATTGCGAGTGTTCTGCTCCACTTCCAAGCACCCTTGGCTTCAGCCGCCTTGGCTTCGTGTAGACGAAGTGCTGGGAGTGCTTAAGGCTCGGGTCACAGGGGCCAGCAGCCCTGCCAAGAACGGCCGAAATGGGCTGCCTGTGTTGCTGAATCCATCAGACAAGGCTGCCTAGGGGCCTAGGTGCAACCTGAGAGAACAAAGACAGTGAAATACCCTTACCCAGCACCCCTAAACCACAACGGTATGTTGCGGTATGTTGGATTGTTTGGTGTCCTCATCCCAAATCGAGTCGAACTTAGGCTTGGCCCCAGCACCCACTGGAAAAAAATTAACATGAGCTCAGGAAACCTGACCAAAGAACCGGTTTTCGATATGGCTGAGCACCCCTCAAACGATAGGTTGCAAACTTTGAAACCCGGTTCTTCTCAAGAAAACTATATATAAACCTATTTTTGGGCCATAGGGCACAGCCGATGGTTGTGGGAAGGTTCGCTGGTCCGCATTGACCGGGGCCATCGCACATCGTCGCACCTGATGTGGGTGGACGACTTCGTGCTTCGCCGGTGGCCATGCCTGACGGTCGTTCGGCGCTGTTGGGGTCGTGCACGGCTGGCTGCTTTTTTTGGAGTGGAATGAATGGTCCCTTTGACAGAAGTAGCAACTGGCAAACATGCAGCACCTGGGTCTTGAAACCAAAAACGGAAGACATGAACCCAATACGCTTCAAGACGCAGGTGCTATCCAACAATTGGCTATCCAGAAACGGCCAAGCACTTGCAAAACTTTTTTTTGAGGAAGAACAGCACATCCACAGCAAATCGCTGCATCCACAGCCGCCTTGGCTGTTTGCGGGTGAAGTACTTGTGCTGCTTGCAGCCGGGTTTGCAAACCCAAGCACTCCTTGCGCTGAAAAGAAGCTAGTGGGACTCATCTAAACAGAATGGATGGAGGAAAGCACTAGCTTTAGTCCCGGAAAACAGGTGTTGTGTCACACTGCAACAAGAGAAGGGAGACAGGGGCACACTGACCAAGAGGCATGAGTTCACCCAAATATGTCTAGGCAGAATGCAAAGAAGATCCCGTGTCAATTCAGGTTGGGGGGGCCACCCATTTATGGACATTGACATGGAGATCAAAGAAGTATATCTCATGAATGGATTCAAAAAAGGCATACTTGGCATTCGAACACCTCGTTTTGATGTTCTCCTGATGTCTTTGGTCGCCCACCACTCCAAGCTTCAGGTTCGCCAATGCCTGACTTGTTGAGAGACGGCCGTTGGTCTGCACACCTCTTGTGCCACTCTCTGGCTCAAGAGAAATGTACGGTTTGAACTTGCTGTCACCCTCTTTGCCTGCAATGTGTTGACGTGCTGACTGGCGCCAAGTGGGGAATGAGGGAATGACCCCTCACTATGAATACTGTATGGATCCATTCCCTCATGAGTCGCACCAGTCAGCATGTTGGAGATGATGATAGATGATGTTATCCACTCATCTGCTCCACTTCATCCGCTCCGGCCCCTGGCTTCTTTCCGCCCGGCCAAACATTGGAAGGGACACTAAGAAGCAATCGGATCTTCTGCCTAAAAAAGAAGATCCAGTGACTCTACACACTTAAAATCGGCCTTGAAGCTTGGGTGTTGATGAACTCGTTCTCAACTTGGTGGCACCTTGCGTGGAAAACCGGTGATGTTTGGCATGTCTTTCTCCATCAAGAGCTGACTAGACTGTAGTTGGTGATCTGCAACACCTTTTTCAAGCCCGAATTATGAAACAAGGCAAAAAGTAAATAACAGCTTGTTTTGTCCACTGGATTTTAATGCTGATCATCAAAACCATTTAAAGGTTCATCGATGGGGAAACATTCAACAGGTTCCTCCTGCCTTGCAGGGGCATAATGGCCACCGCGCGCTGGGCTCCACCTCGGTGTTTAGAGCGAACAGATGCAGCCGCCGAGGAGTTGGAGAAGGTGACAGTGACGTTCCAACAAGCAACGTCCGTCGATCTCCAAAAGCTATGGCGAGTGGAATATCCGGGGTTCGGGTAGCGGGGAGTAGGGAGCCCTGTGAAAAAGTTCCAATGACCAGACTGACCAACATGAATCAACATGATACAACTCCTTCGTCTTCGACTCTGCAACCACAGAACTTCGGTCAACCATTGGCCACCGCACCTACGCCACTTGCGCTTGGGTCGGCCATGGGAAGTCCTGACAGGGAAAAAATGAAAGAAGTTGGCACCACCTGAGGTCATGACCAACAGATATGTTCAACTTTTCCTGCCACAATTCGGTACAATTGTTTGCTTTCTTCGTCAGCAGGATAGTGGATCGACGATGAATGGTACTGGAATGGGAGCTGTATTTCCTTTGGTTCTAGGAAGTGCACGCTTGAGATCCAAAAGCCTCCAGTTGGGCATGTCTGTCAGCAGTAAGGAAGCTCTGCCAAAATTGCCCAAGGATGACACATGTAAATGTGTGCAAACAAAGCAGATTGGGTTCGTCAACTTGTTCCAGTTTCGATTGCCATTGACACACTGTATATGTTTCCACCATGAAGGGATCCAGCATACGATTTCTCACGAAGGATGATATGATCAGACTGTCTCCCAATTCTCAGATTCACTCATTGATATTTGGATACAAAAGCAAAGACACAACAGAAGTGTAGAAAACATTATTGAAGAGTACTATATTGTCTTGTATTGAAGTCTGGGTTTGCTGTGAACTTCCCAAACTCCGAACCTGTTCACAGCAAACCCACCCAGCGAAATCGGAACAAACCCAAACCCAGGCCCACAGCCTGGCAGCTGCGGACTGGAAGCACTTCCACCTGTGCCAGCCCGCCACGGCACGGTGGAAGGACAGCTCGCGCCATCTTCGGCGGAAGGACGATAGAACGAGGTTAGCCGTTCTGCAGCGTTCCCCCTGATCCGGAAGGGCATGGAACGTCCGAAGAAGTGACTTCCATCCACCATGCTGCGAGAACAGATGTTTCATACATTCCCCACCCCAATGGCGCCCCCGTCTGAATGTCTGTTCCTTCCCAACCCCACAAGCGAAACGTCTTTGAGTGATCACGAAACCCAATCCACCAACCTCCACCAGGCTTTCTGGCCGGCTAAATACACCAACCTCCTCTCTTCCCACGCCGTCGCGTCCTCACCTCTGGGGATGGGTCGCAGCACTGGAGACTTCCGCAGCTCCAAGGCGCTCTTCACCGCACGCAGCAGCCCTGGCGTCTCCGTCGTCACGTCCGCGCCGTGACGCCCGCGCCGTGGGGTGCTGGAAGATGAAGCACGGTGAGGTAGTGGCGAAGAACGGGATGAAGAGAGTGTCAACTGTGAGATGAAAGAGATGTGGCCAGGCAACTGGCCAAACCCTGACAAGATGTGGGACGAACACTTTCGGCGAACCGCTTTTTTTGGGGGGTCCACCTGCATGTGTCTTCAACAAAGGAGCAAGAGGCAAGACAATAAGACAAAGCTGTGTCGCGCCTTTTTCGCAGAAAGGATGTAGTCCGTGGCACGTCCGTGGTGTCCAATCTTCTTCAGAAAAAAGACCCACCTGAAACCGAACCACGACAACGACACGACAACGACAGCCTTGCGGTACAGCTTCGGGTGGATGGCCCACCGGCGGGCTGGCTGCGCTTGGTCTCACCGTCCTCAGCACCTCTCCAAGCTGATGGCGCCGCCGCGTTCTCCGTCCCTTGGAAACCAATTGGATCCCATTGGGCAAACAAGAATTACCCTCCCTGGAATTAACATGGAAGTGGAAAACCACCTGTTTGTAATGGATTTTGTGGTCTTACAAGGGGCCATTCTCCACTTCCATGTTAGTTCCAGGGAGTGTGAGCTGAATTCAGCAAGCTGAACTTCTCCAAACTCATCTGTCAGTCAGCTGAACTTCTCCTTAAAGGTGATCATGAAGGGAACACATGATCCAAATTCCTTCCATTATTTATTTACTTTCGCGAGTCTTTCAAGAACGCCATGTGTGGCTTTGGCGGGGAGTATATCCAAGAAGTACTCTTGGTTTGGTTGTTTCCAGGCATACCTATCTTTCGCAGATCTTTCAAATCTCTTCAGACCTCCCCCCCGAGTACTTGATCATGTCCCTGCGTGGAGTGACCGCCTGCAGCGATGCTGCTGTCTGAACGGCTTGGGAGAGCAGCTTCTTTCGTTGCCTAAGACTGTGCACCAAGACGGTGCGCCGTCTGCAAGGCAAAAGACGCAGTCTCATCCCTGCATTTTGGGAAAAAAAGAACTGAGGGCCAATATCCAGATTGAGTAGGCCGCAACATTAAGACCAAAGATAGGAAGTTTGTCCAAACAAAATGCTCCTCTTGATGGATAACAACATGAAACAAACCTCAACCTCAAAGCGTGGCCTCTCTTGCATGCCCTGAAACACACTGAGATTCATGCTGAGGGCTACGAAGAATGAACTCTCCATCCGTGCACTCCTGCAATCCACCCTGCCAAGCAACGGCACAACGATGGAGGTCACGGACAGCGGGGCTAACATCTCTTTTGCAAATACATCCACCCTACTGAGACGCTAATATATTTCGATCATTGTTGACTCGATTTCTGCTCTTGAACCACTCACACAACAAGGGCAGCCTGCATAGCCTCATGCCACTCCAAGAACGACAACTAGAGTTCATAAGCTGTTCAATTCTCCCAAAAAACTATTCCGTATAGCACACTCGCTTGAAGGAGACGGCAAACGCCCACCTGAAAGCCTATAGAAAAAAGGAATTGCCCAATCAATATTGTTGCAGCTCTTGACATCTTGTGACCCTTTCCTCCTTTTGTACGCCTTTTCCACCTCAACCTTAGGGATCCAGTCGTACCTTCTCAGAAGGTGAGCAGGGAAACACTGTTATGTAGGTGCCAGGCTTTAAGTCCCTGCCGCCTAGTCCGAACGAAAACGGATCCCGAGGGCAACCACAGGTATGCATCCCATGCATCGAAGCAAAGGGCATCGCTACTAGGAGCAAGGGCCTTACTAGTAGTAACAAGGACGCTAGTAGAAACAAGTGCCTTACTAGTAGAAACAAGTGCCTTACTAGTAACAAGAAGCTATTAATTAGAAGCTATATACAGTCCCATCGCCTCCTCGCCTCCTCATCTTTCACCTGTCGCAGGAGCCGCACGTCCGCCTCCACCACCCCGAGCAGCGCGCGGAGCTTGTCGATCTCCAGGTCCACGTGCTGTCCTTGTCCTTCCACTCCGACGGAGCTTTAGCGGTGCGTTTAAAGTAGCTTCTTGTTACTACTAGCGAGGCACCTGTTACTACTAGCGTGGCACCTGTTCCTACTAGCTTCTTGTTACTACTAGCGAGGCACCTGTTACTACTAGCGTGGCACCTGTTCCTACTAGCTTCTTGTTACTACTAGCGAGGCACCTGTTACTACTAGCGTGGCACCTGTTACTAATAGCTTCTTGTTACTACTAGTAAGGCACTAGATTAGGTATATCCCTTTAGCATATCTGTGCCTTGGGTTTATCCAGGGTCCAGTGGACGTTGATGGTTCAGTTGGATGATGGTTCAGTCTATCCTATGACCAGGGCCCAGTGGGATGATGATGGTTCAATTCAGTTGGATGATGCTTGTTCAAGAATGGTGATAACTGATTGTTGACTGACTGCTACAGGTAAAGGGACAGACCCGAGGTGTACCTCATAAGCAAGAGTGGTGAAACAGGCGTTGGATCTTAAATGTTTGCTGGTATATCCCATTACCAGGGCCCAGCGGATGTGGATGATGATGATTATTATTACTTGTTTTATCACCATTATGATTATTACTATCATGATGTTGATGATGCTGGTTAGTGAAGGCTTTCGCAAAAATTGTGTTTGTCTTTCAGCGGCGATTCGAGGCAATGGGGTACAGCCAACTGTTGCCGTGCCGACTGTGGGTGGCAAAAGGGTTTGAGTTGCTTCTTCATGGATTTATTTTCAAAAATATGTTGCCCAAACAAATACAGTACTGTATCAGTATGATCATCTATTGTGCAAAAGCGAATCAATTCTGGTTGGTGTTTCCAACTCACTTGATAAGTCTGGGTTCATGTGGGTTCAGTCATGTTTGAAACCACAACCCGGAATGGAATCTGTCTCAAGAGTCCAATCTCTGTTCTGCCCACCTTCGCCCAAAGCAGTTCGTAAACGTGTCAGCTCCATCTGTGGCTGCGCGCCCTTTGAGGTGAGTCTGCCACTGGGTTGTATAGTTAAAGTTAAGCTTTTGCCTCAAAAGGAGTGTTTCCATCCGTTGCTGGGTTTGGGGTTCCAACTTCTGAACTCCAAGCTGATTGCCAAAGAATTCGACATGTGTTTCACCTTATCCAAAGGACGAAACAAAAGAACATCAACTCCACTCATCCAGTCTTTGGGTGACCAAAGCTCCAGGCTAAGTGATCTGTGTAACTGATCTTGCTCTCTGAAACTTGATCCTGAGAGAAGCATTCCAAAGTATCGAAACGGCGCTTTGGCGCTTTACGAGGGAGGACTGGGAGACCTGGTCAGTGAGTTGATTGGACTCAGCTGATAGAAACTATATACAAACGGTCCACCACGGCCGTCTGTGCTTCACAGTCTGTCGTCTTCTCTTCTTTTTGCGCTTGGCGCAGGTCTTTGTGCTCAGGTGCGCTGGAGCTCTCATCAGGACCTCAGAGTCACTGGTGCCGCATCAGGAAGACTGGTGACTAAATCCGTTCTCTTGGCCCAAGAAACGAACGAAACTCGTTTTCTGATGTAGTTGAGGTATGCTACGGGTTTCTTTTCAAAAAGGATTGCAGATTCGGAAGTTCTTTGCAGGGAGAGTGGTGGAGCTGCGAAGTACAGTAGCACGCACTGAGAGCTTCCTCCGCATCATAGAACTGTAGCGGTCAGAGTTGAAAGTCCTTTCTTGTGGCATCGACACACGAAGCCATCCTGTTTGCTTACAACAAATGCCGGTGATGCACAAATAGCTATTTTAGGGTCTACCAGCATCGTCTTGCAATGTGTCACCATGTTTTGCTTAAAACCCAACGCCAGCAGCAGAAAAGGCCGCAAGCACATGAGCAGATCACAGCAGTGGTCAAACCACTGAGCATCCCAACAACTTGGATGCTTTCGACTTCGATGTGGGCTTCGATGCTTTTGTGTAACCCTTCTGCTGCGCAGCATCCCAGAACCTGCCGCGGAGGCCCGGAAAGTTCATGCTTGGTGCTCATGGAAGGGGAGGCTTTGATTGGCCTGGACATGTGGACGCACCAAAACTCTTAAGACGGGGTGGGTTGCAAGATGTTGTAAGAGGAGCCGCAAAAACGGACACGTGAAGAAGCCGCCGCAGGACGTCGTCATCACGTCGCTGGGGGAGGCACTCCATGAAGTCTCGATGCTTGTTGGCATTGACTTCCACTTCCACGGCCTCAGCGCGGGCGGCACAGCACTCACCAAGGCGGAGGGGACGGATGCTTACGGATGCCATCCGCCCACGCTTTGCTGTGCAAGGTGAAGGGGTGTGTTGAGAACGATTGGAATTGAGGACGAAATGATTCTAACGATCAACTTTCCCGGGTGTATAGCAGTCGGTGTTTTTTGAGACACCCAACTCGCCAGAGGGTGAGGAGAGCCGCAGGAGCTGTGTTTGGACTATGTTAGTAGTGTGACAAAATGATCGAAATGCTGATAATGCCAGCCATCTTGGAGGCACCAGCAGCATCACGAAGCATCATACACTTATTTTTGTACAATGGCAGCCATTGCATGGGCCTTGGATGCCCATCCCTGTCCACTGTGACCACGCTGAGGATCGCACCCCTGGAAGCATCCTGGAGAGAACCTTATCGAGGGATTGAAACAGGCAACATCACGTGGAAATGATCGTGTGATGGCAAGGTGGATGGAGATCATTTGGTATTTGATTCTTTGATATTCTTTGATCACTAGGGATATCAAAAAGGAATCACCTTCTATCAAATACAGTAGATCAACTGGAAGGAGATCGAAAGGCCCGAAAACATGACATCTGCTTCTTGTGGTCCTCACCAAACAAAAACCGTTGCCTGTGCAGGAGCTCGGGACAAGGTCTTAAGTTAAGGAACCGAACTGACTGATGAGAAGCTTTTGTTCAACCCACCTGGAGATGTCTTCCACTCCGGGTGTCATTGCTTTCACTGGTTGCAACATCGACATCGCCTGCACCACTTTTACATTGTGTCCTTCTGTGCCCACAATGGAACTATATCATTCCATTCCCTCCTGTTAGCAATCATGAGACAACATTTCTGACACATCAATATCAAGAAGACTCATTGTCCTATCCAAACCTGTACGTCCGTGGCTGTGTGCGTGATGGCACGCAAGTCAACCTATCGCTTCATCGCAGGTGGTTTCCCACATAATGATTCAGTCTCCGCAAAATTGGCATAAGGATACACAAAAGCCTTTTTTGACACTGAGAACCCTGTCTTTGCAATCTAAAAGGAATAGCGAAAAACACACCGAAAACACACCCATCCTTGCAAATTCCTTCTGCCTGCCAGTCTTCAGTCTCTGTCTCCTCTTTTTCAGCATGTCTTTCCTCCAACCCTCCAACCCTCTTCCCATCTCTTCCCATCTCTTCCACCACCAACCCCCCCCACTAACCGGTCGTCCTCCACCGTTTTTTGGGCCTCCGGGCCGTTCGCAGCAAGGCCGTGGACTCCGCCAGGGACTTGCCCTTCACGGCCACCGCCACATCGCAGGCGGGGAGCCAACAGGCCTTGACCTGGGCAGGTCGAGCGGTCGGCTTGGTGGACCTGAGGACGACTTTCGTTTGGATGAGGCTTGGTTCACACCTCCAGGTGTGGTAAAGAACTAAATAACCCGGTGCTTAAAAGAAAGGTCAACATATGCATTGTGCTACAGTGTTTTGCTGTAGATTGGTATAGTAAATGCGCACGTGTTTGGACACATCCATGTGTGTAAAACTGTGAAATGGACATGTTTGGGGTATATTAAAAAACATTAAAAAACTAAGTGGCTAATGACATACAGCAGAAAAGAATAGGTGGAAGCGCATTGTTCGCAGATCCAACGATTTATGTTGGTTGATGTAGGATATTGGACTGTGGATGGAACCTGATCCACATAAGGAAGCTTTGGTGGGTTAACCCGATCCCACATTCAAATGGGGATTCCGTGCCAGTTTGGGTTTATCACTCAAAAAGAAAGGGAGGAGGAGAGACTTGAAGGCCTCGGCATCTCCAGAAATTGCCTTCGAAATAGCTCGGAAGGCCTAAGCTTCTGGCGATGTGGAAAGGCTGCAGGCAAAGATGCAGAACATGCCTTGGCAACAAAGTCATGAGCCATCTGGCCGTAACTGGCCCAAACTATCTAATCTGTGCTGTCCTTAGACAGGCCCCGGAAGAATGCTCCGGCATCCAAATTCAAGCAAACAAGTCGAGTCTTCCGGCACAAATCATGCCATCTAATCCAAGCTAATTACATCTGATCTACATCCATTGCTTAGGCTGCCAGGCTGCCAACCTTTGCATCACATGAAGACCGATGTTTCAACGACCTCCTTCACAAACTCCAAACTCCCTGAGAGGTCGGCCGAACCACATCTCCCACCGTGTGATGCGGCGTGTAGGCGCCGCCCTTGGAATACTCCAAGGCCACCAAGGCGGTGCCATGAGGCCTCGGCTCCGGTTCGGCTTGGTGGAAAGAAGTGGATCGGAGCTATCAGCTCCAGTAGTACATCCATCTTAAGGAGTCCATCTCAAGTTGGTACCTCTTCATCTCAAGCCTGAGCTCAAGATAGCTCAAGCCTGAGCTCAAGCCCAAGCTAATAGCAATGCTAAAGCTTCCAACTCTCTTCCTCTTTTTTGGATGGTCTGAGTATCCCTGCTTGTCCATCGCCTCCAAACCAGCGAAGGTTTCCGGCTTCCAGGCCTTGACTCGCCACACACGGACATACCGCCACTCTGCCGTCCTCGACGGACCTCTTCGGAACGTCGTGCTATTCTGAGACGCACCCAAGTTCAGAGCGGGATACAAAGAAAGAATTATAATATGGGCCTAATACGGGCTTATAAGATCTTGTAAGCTGTGAACTGAGTAAGCAAACCTCTGTGCGCTCCACCACGCCGCTCACCTGAGGCACCCCACCAAGATGGCACTTCCGTTGGTGCGAGCTCCCTGTCGAGGCAAAGCAGGTGAGCACCAATGGCATGCCCGCTAGTTGTGTCATCTACTCTGAAATCAATTGAATCTGAAATCAAATGAAGTCAGCAATCTAACATCTATAGCTCTGTCAGCATAAGCATGAAGATGTTTGTGTTTTGTCGCCATTGTCACCAGGTTTCGATCTTCTGCAACTTCGCTGAAGAACTGCTGAAGCTTTCACTCCCGGTCGCGAGTCGAAGGCTCTTTTCGGGGACGGCAGTCGACCAGTCGACCTGGTCTGTAGATCGCTTCCAGCAGGATGTCGCTTCCCGACGGCACCGCGACGACAAAATCTCTTTGGAGCTCGATCAAACATCCATCGACCCATCCGCCGAATGCAGGAGACGTCCGACGTACCACAGACGACCGTTTTTTTTCCACGTCCTTCGTTTCCGGCCTCGGCAAAGACGACCACCGGCCCACTCCAACCTGCCAAAGTGAAAAGGAGATAGGGGCCCGGCCTTGCACGTTCCTCCATCAACCGCGAAGCTAGGTCCCGCGGTCCATGATTCTTCATTTTTGCGAGGATGTCGGCTGCACTGGCATCCTCATCCAAAACCTATCATAATCCAGGCCTCCCAGTCTCAACAACCGGCCTGCATGTGCAGCTTTGGCAATGTCAGCCAGCGTTTGCCTGAGGTGCTTGGCTCGGAATCCATTTGAGTTCGATTCGGCCAGTAACGCTGGAGTAACGGACAAGGACCAGGAAGGGGAGAATTAAAACATAAAAGAAAACGGTACAGTGTTAGAGTCACTGCATCATGTAATGGTAGGAGATAAAAGTTCTCAAGCGTCCTCATACTTCGAGGTTGAGCTGGCCCATATCAGATGCATTCATGAGAGAGAGAGAGAGCTTTTCCACCTGTCTCTCTCATTTTCTCATCTCAGGATGATCTCAAATATCCTGCGACATCCTACGACATCCAAGCGGATTCCAATTCGGCCGCATCCTCGTGCGGCTCTTCCGGGGCTCCCCGACTTGGAGGCCGGCGCTGGTGGAGGGTCGCTACTGGCCCGGCGAAGGGCGCCCAGTAGCGAATAGGCCACGGGCCTTGAGAACACGGGCGCCTGGCCTTGGGCCCGAACGATCAATTCTCCTTCAAAGACCAGGTATCTTGTTTGATTGAAACAGAACAAGAGATCCGGACCAAGTCTGAAGTGTTACCACCTGGAAGAAAAACTGAAAAAACCCCCCACTTCTCGTTTAGCATTCACGGGAGACTTGATAAGTCAGCTGTTGACAGGTCCCGTCCCAGCGTACTTCGCAAAAATGCGTTTCAATCCAGTGTTTACAAAGCCCAAACAGGAGAGGTGTCTTCACCGTTTGGAGTCACCGTTGGAGGAGCCTCGGTGGAGGGCCAGCAGCCGGCTGTCTGCTTGATCGAAGAACAACGAACCAGAACAGGGGTGAAAGACAAAACCTACGGGTACAAGCATGACAATACATGCGGCCTCTTTGGAACTTCTTTTTGATCATCCATCACATTGGAATCTTGGATTTGCTTAAGGAACCGGGAAAATTAGAAACAACATATGTTCCAGAAGGTGATTTACACATGAAAAAAAGAATCACCTTCAACAAACCCAGGGAATTGGGTGAACCAACACTCTGAGGTGAACACATCTTCTGTGACTCTAGACTCTACTCCACTTATCGCTAAGGCTCAAGCGTCCCGTCAGCCGCTGGAAACACGAAGACAGGACACAGCCTCTTCGTTTGGAGCGGCGCTGGCCCATACTAAATTGCATGCCACTCGTCATATTATATATATATAGCTCGCTTGATCCCTTCCTTCAACAAAAAAGAAGGTGCACGTATCCAGCATCCACCAGTTCAAATAGCGGTGGGAATCTCCCAAGAGTCTGCAGTACCATGGACTGAACACCAAAACGAGGGCCTCTTTTGAGTGGACTGAACAGTGGAACTATAGAGTGGATTCAGAGTGGATGACTGTTAACACGCGTCTAGACGGGAAAAACACAAGACAAGTAAGTAGAACATGTACAAAAAAATACAGCAAACACGTGCAAGCAGCGCAAACAACATATGATAAAAATCCATTAGCACTCACTAAATGTACCCTCTATGTGGTCAAAACGAGGGCCTTGTCAACGCTTTCTCAGGGCGGCACTTCATTCCAAGGTACAAGACATCGGTCAAGCCCTGCCTCAGGCAAGCATTTGACACAGAAGTTGCAGGGCTGATCAAACATGGTCCCCAAGGTACAAGTCAAACATCGGTACACATATGTCGCTTGCCTAAACTTTTGACACATTGCTTGCCTATAGACTCCAGTCACAATATGATTTGTTTTCGAGAAACTTCTCGTCTCGCAACCAGCTGTTCGTTTTGCCAAAACAAGTTCCTTTTATTGAACAAAATGGAAACATGTCCAGTTTGCACTTGTCTAGAATATATTGAACTCGCAACACGCCTAGGCCAAACAACCACATTGTGTTCTTTGCGTGTTTGTTTCGTGATGCCTGTTTGTTATGGCCGAGATCCCGCGCATGTTGGCGATCACCAGGCAACCCCGTTGTGCGTCGAAGCAAAAGGATCGGCTCACCTGCCCGGGTGAGAAACGATCGGGGCCTCCATGGGTTCAAGCACTCTCATATATGAAGAGTGTGTGAGCTGTCTGTTGTTGAGCTAGCTCTTGGTCATGTTCTTGAGCAACAACCATCTGTTCTAGACTATTCTTGCATGGGTTTTAAGGGGAAATCTCCAGGAAACCAGGGTATTCACACCCAAAACTATGGGTTTCCTGCAGATATTCCCTTAAATCAATTCATGGAGACCATTTCGGATGCTGTGCGCACTCCGATGCTGCACGCAAGGTCGCTGTGAACAAAGTGTCCCTTTTCGCATGAAAGGAATCACTCTGCGGGTCCAACCCAGTGTACTTGATACCTCAAAAGATTGCAAGTTCAAGCAATGATCCAAAGGAAAAAATTAACAGCTAGTATGGACGTGTGATGAATATTGTTTCCTAATGTGTCCTATCCTCTAGATTAGCTGTTGGTATCATAACATCCAATAGATGTTCAAGAGCAACATTGAACCCCCTACCCGGTAGACTGGTCGCCCGCCTTGGGAGGAACCAGTTTCAGCCTTCGATGATCTGCCACTTGATTGCCTGGAACTGGACGTTTTGGGCCATGAAACGTCGACGGGTCGTCGTTGACTCTGCCCACTTGCAACCGAGCAGCCGCCGGCGACGAACCAGAAGCCTCACAAAAGAAGCGAGCTGAAAGAGGGACTTCTAGCTTGCTCCTGAGGTTGGGTGATCCATCATGGTGATCCTGGGTGTTCGCGTGGCTGTGGGTCCAAACCCTGACATCCTAGACCCCTCTCGGTGGTCCACCCCGGTCTGTCCCCCGGTCCCATGACTGGACCCATGCTGAGGGTCGGGCCCAAGCCGATCATGGCCAGGCAGCAGCCAGCGTAGGTCATGAGTGACTGCACAGGCCGCCTCGAGTCATGATAATTATAAAACAAAAATACATATGGACAAAGAATGACAAAGAGAAGTTCTCAGAAGGTTTTCTTTGTAGGTTGCTAGAATGATGCCAAACAGCTACTATTATGTCTCAGCATAGGCATATTCTTGCTGGAGTCCTTGTAGATCAGTCATTCTTCAGCTCTGTTAAACAGAGGTGAAGCCGGCAAAAGGTCCAATTCTGCCGTGTCAAGGTCCCCTGGTCCCGTCGACCGAGTTGGACATATTGCAGAACTGGCATGACTGGTGGACAGTTGTGCAACAAATCCAAGCAGAATGATGAGCATCAATCTGGACAGCCCAAATGACCATGGACAAGCCGCCAGCCCAAACAAATGACTCACCATTCATCAATGTCATGCATCAATCAAATGTGCTCACGAAATTGAACAATGATGGGCTCACCTGGTGAGCAACTGGACATACAAATGACGATTAGACATGTGAAAGCGCCCATGGGAAGAAAGCAAGCCAACGGGAGCCATGATCAAGCGAACCGCTCACCGAGCAAACCCTGACCCTGTCTCTCCACATGTCCAGATCGCACCTCAAAATTGGGATGATCGAGAGTGGCAAGCAAAGAAGCTCCGTCAGCAACAACCTCAGACCACTCCAAGATACTCAAAGGCTAGTGGCGGTTCGCTTGCTCAAACAGCCTGTAGGACAAGTGAAGACTGGCTTCATAAAACCTGAACCGAAGATGTGTTGTGTCTTGTTCCAGCTCAATCTCCAACACCAGGTGTGTCCAGAGGCGCCGACCAGGCTGCCGCGGTGGCTAAGGTCAACAGCCTCATCAAGGCCACGGGCAGCAACACCTGGCCCCCGGGTTGGACCGAAACGCGATGGAAGACGAGGGAAGTCGCTGCTTGCAGCTGCGCTGCTTGGGGCCTAGCAGTTAAGGAGGCCAGTTAGGGGGCCAGTGAGCTTGTTGGCATAGATTGTGCTAGATCTCAGTTCTCCTTTAGCTAAGTACTCTTCCCTAGGGAATCTTCTTAATCCCCTCTCTGGGTTGCCACTGTGGAGGGTGGACGCCCCCCAATCTATGTTCAAGGTAAAGGGATATTGTTCAGCCCCAAGCCCCAATGAGTTTTGGGAGCACCAACAAGCGGGAAAGCCCCAAGGATAGACTATATGAGCGGCGGCATTTTGTTCAGTGCTAAACTAAACTCAAATACATTATATATCTTTTATGTGGGGCGCCGTATCTCGGTTAGACTATAATTATACTTAAGTAGGAGATCATGTCACAGTATCTCGTTCAGACTACTCTAGTAGCAAATCACAGTATATATCTCATTCAGACTACTTTAGTGTCATCAAAAATAAGTATCTCGTTTATGTGGGGGCCCTATCTCGTTCACAAGTGAATACTGATGATTCATAGAAAAACAAATAGAGCATGCTGTAGACTACTTTAGCAAAGCACGAATAAAAGTGGTTGCTCATATGTCAATCGCCAAATTTGACCCACCAAAATGAACTGCAGTAGTGACTTTTGAGGCCAAGCTTTGAGCATGTCTAATCCCCCCAAATCAAGTCCCATCTGAGGCGAAGACCAGCTTCAAGCATCGCATCAGCAAGCTGGCCTTCATCAAATAAAGGCCAATGACCCAAGGACCGATGAAACAATTTCATCAAACTCATCAAATGTTCCTCAAACAAGCAAAACAACTAATGCTTGAGTGTCAGAAGTCCTCCTTGTCGTGACTTCATCAGCAAGATCGGTTTGCCAGTGTTTGCCAGTGAATCAGCACTCAATCCTCAATCCATACCATGACCCCATACCATACCACACCATACCACACCATGGCTCACTCAATACCCGCGATCGATTGACATCGGCCTTGTAATGCGACCATGGTGGGACGAAGGGATTGACCCCAGTTCCTCGGAAAGACGAGGACGTTCCAGCGAGAAGCGGGGCGTCCGAAGCAACGCGGAAGCACCGCGTCCCGCGTCCCGCGTCCCGCGTCCTCCATCGGCAAACTGACGGTATTTCTCCATCGCTGCAAGGCCAAACGACGAAGCAAGACGACGGATGATGAATGACCAGGGTTGTGCTTGAAAGGCGTCCCCCAACTTTATCCAACTTCAACCTTTTTGGGTAATAAACATGTTTTTCTGAATCTTGAGTGCGTCTTTTGCAGCGTGACTATGTCAGCTTGCAGCTGGATTCTGCATTGTTTGTTGTATGGAGTCGTGCTTCAAGTGATTTCGGCAGAGATGACCATAGCATGGCTGCCCTACAGCGTGATGCACCTGGGAATCGTGCCTACGGGCCCAAGGCTTGACGCCCCTCATTTCACACAGTTCTGAGCCAACGCCGTGAACAAATCTGGAGAAGCGACGACTCATCATACTCATCAGCTGCTCCTCAGCTGTTTGGCTCGAATGTGTTTCAAACATTCGAGCCAAAATGAAGTACTTGGAGGCGAACTGTCTTAGACCAGTCTACTACAAGAAGTACTTGTTGGAGTACTTGTTTGAGTACCCACTGGAGGCTTCCAAGTACTTCTTGTGGCTCCGAGCGACTCGACACCGGGACACCGGGACGACCGACTCGGTGGGGAAGAACGGTGTCCTGTCGTTGACAAGCTGAGGTTCTGTGCGAATTCCAACAGCGACTGCTAAGGCTCGAGCAGTGGAAATCATCACCAAAGAATCGTTGAACAAATTGAAACGTCTGAAGCCAGCCGGCACTAGCACTGCCCCAAAGTGGCGCGAGAAGTCAAAAGGTAAAGAGTGGAAGTCACAACCACCCTCCATCCCCGCATTGCCAGCACGTTTGTCTTTTTACCAGCTGGCAGGTCGGAAGAAATCTCCTGGCGGAGCTCTGAAAGATCAGAGAATGACATGCATCTGCTGGAAAATCCTCTGGATGCTTGAAGAGTGTGTCTGCAAATGATTGCATATAGATCTTGACATTTGAACATGTCGCACAGAGTACGTGAAATGTACAGTATCTTCAACCCTGTGGCAAGCACCATGTTTCTCGCCCCAAATCGTTCAGCACACAGGTCAATGCAGACTAGACACAGTAGTGGAAAGCTAGCTGTGGTGATGACAAAAGAAACCAAAGTGTTAAGATGTGCTACGTTTTGTGCATATTGTAACATTGAAACTTTTGTGCAGCTGTGTTTCAACCATGTGTGACCTTTACCATCTTGACCAAATTGGAAACTGCTGTGGCCATTGTCGTTGTCGAACAGAACTCTCAGAATCGGGGTCCGTCGCGATGCTACGCGTTGTGCGGTGTTCGGTTTGGAAAGTGCTGTTTCTTTTGAGTGACCACCGATGCGCAAGTTGTTGAAAAGCAACCCACTATTTAAGTCACTAGGAATGGATTCCATCGACAAGAATATCAGAGGCTTCATCGAACAAAACCAAGAGGCCTTGGGACTATGCACTTCGCAGGCAACAAGCACCGAAACCTTGATCCATATTGCAAACGTCCAAGTAGACTATGCAGTTGTTTTTCAATTTATTTCTTTCAAGTTTCAACACGATCTGATGATACTATGATCTGATGATGATATGTGTGGTAGTTTGGTGGCAAAATGCAATCATGTGACATGAGGACGAGTGAGAGTCAAAACCAGAACAAAGTGACCAGTGCTTTCTCCTCTCTTCGCCTCACAACCTCCGAACATCTTCCCATCCAAAGCATCACGCAAACCGGGTGGAGGGAATCCCATTCTCTCTGGGCCGTTCCAGGAGCTTCATAATATATTCTGACATCCTTATGGCTGGTTCAGACCGGAACACTCATGGTCATCCGAGTCTTGGGCCACCATGAGGTCCACGTAACTTCACGTAACCATATGACGATGTCAAATTCATTCGTGGAACCCACGTAACTGTTAGAGACCTCCACCCTTCCCCCAGTCATTCGTCCTGCTGCCACGTTCTCCGTGGGGGGCAGGAACTCCTTCCACGGCGTCATCGCTCCATCCGTCGGCCACCTGGCGAGTGTTCAACTCAAAACAAGTCGCATCGGACCTTACAGAACCATCGGACCAATCGCCCATTTCGAACGGCCGAGTCCGCGAAATCGGATCTTGAAAACAAGATCACTGTCCAACGGCCGAGTGCTATGCCAAAATGGGTAAAGTAGGTGATCACGGGAGAAGTTCGCAGTGTCCTCCCAACGAGTGGTGAGCCTTGCCGCCCAGCACACGCGGTGCCGAGCCGGCTCTTGAGCGGGTCCTGCGGATGGAGATCTTCTCCGGAACCTTCTTATTCCAGCCACAGCAACCTGTTTTACAGGATGAATCTGAGCCTTCAAACCTATTTGGCCAGTGTGCGCGACAGAATTCTCTTCAGCCAAACCCATAAAGGAACAAACCATCCAAGCAAGATAACGAAGTCACTCAGTAACCTTAAAAGAATCCGTTCGCAATCTGCTATAGGCCATAGATATCTATACTTCGTACTTAGTACATATAGATTCATAGATTCTGCTAAACCATCCACAAATCCACAATCAACATCAGCAGCACCTTTGGCCGCCTATGCACGTGTCAGAGGCAAGTGGATATTGCACTACACCCAGCCAGGATCAACACGTTTGGCTCTCCGTCCCGAAGAGAAGACGAAGCCTTGGAGACTCGCAGAGCAGCACGTCTCGCAGAGCACGTCTCGGCGCGAGCGTGGCGTCCTCCGGCGTGGAGCCGCGTGGTGTCCCGGTGGCGTCCCGGTGAACAAAAACAGGAATTGATGTGTGAAGAAAACCATGGAAAACCTATCAATTTGGTTGAACTTTTTGGTTGCTAGGGATATCTGTTGTAAGGGAAAGTGTCAAAAATCCATGTGTGACAGATGGTCCCAGGAAGAAGTCCCCCACCACTTGGAGCTACTCACTTGGAGCTTTCTCGGAGATTGGAACATGAAGAACGTGAACATGTTTAAAGTTAAGTACTTACTTGTTCGATGCATGAGAGGAACTCTGACTCTGGACGGTGGGTCTCACGAACTAGTAAACCATCTAAAAGCCCAAACGACGGATTGGAGCGAGAGCTCTTCTTTTGTTGCGCGACGGATGTAAAAGGATTCTGCGAAATGCCTAGCTTGGGCATTGTGCACCTCCTTTCCTGCCTCCCTGTACACAGCCTCCAGCTGCTTGAGCAGGTTTGGAAGCTTTGGATTTGTCTGCAGAGGAAGGGCGCTGGCCGAAAATTGAGTCAGAAAGTTCACCCCTCAACTTGTGGATCAAACCCGATGAAACCTGGGTTAACCCTCTTGGCCGCATACTATATATTTAGGATCGGAGAATGCCCAACTCTTGTCCATCTGGCTTAGAGGTGAGGAGCAGAGCTGCTCTGACCCAGATCGATACCTCGTGTGGGGCCGACTGAAACGCCACACGACGAACGTGGCGGCAGAACATGGACGATGGATGGCCACTTAGTGGGAAACGAATGGACAATTCTTACCCTCTGACTCACTAATTAACGTGGAAGTGAAAAAACGACCTGTTTGGTATTCGGATTTGAAACTGGTCTTCCCAGTGGCCATGTTCCGTTTCCATGTGATGTGTTAGACACTTACCCACCGCCATGGCTGTGCCCATGATGGTGTGTCTCTGTGTTCTCCATCTCATCCAGATCTTCGACGCAATTCCACGGATCCTCCCACTGGGACCACTGGTCGGGCCCCAGTGCCAACTCTTCTGCTGTGAGGAGGCACTCTTCCAGTGCTGCCATCACAGCAGTTTGATCCATGTGAATTCCAATGCAAACAATCTCATTCTGCCGATCGCCCACTTTCTCGTCCCACAAGGGCTTGATTTCACCCTCCAGCCCTTCTGGCCATTCTTCACGGGGCACCACAGCCCACCAGAGAGGGCCCAAAGCGACGTTGAACTTACAACCTGCGAAAGAGGCCGTCAACTGCGTATCATTGTGACAAGCCAACCAAACAATCCCCTTCATCCGCACCACCTGCTCCAGTGCTCCATCTCCGTCGCCTCGTGTCTTGTTCTCCATCGCCCCATAGAGCCGTTGGGGATGGAAGGGTCGCCGGCTGCGGAAGATGAAGGAGTTGATGCCGTACTGCACGGACTCGGGCACGTGCTCGGCGTGCCGCGCTTCCGCCAGCCATTTCGGATTGGCTTCGGCACTGGGGAGGTTGAACCTGGCCACCTCGAAGATGCTGCGCGGAGCAAGCCTTTGGCTGAATGAGAGGACGCACGACGCACGAAAACGCATGAAAGAAGAGTAACACACATAGTTGATTACGGTAGAACTCCCAAATCACGATGAGAAAATATATATCTTCTAATTTCACACCACCCTGGTGTCCATCTTCAACAAACAGTCCTTATCTGGATCCATATACACAATATATAGATCCACTGTTGTCATCTATTTCTTCTGCAATTGGTTCCAAGACACTTGCAGAAGTTGGTCTCCATGATCTCAGCCTCCTGGTTGATCTTGCCGATCAAGGCCCGAATCTTTGCCAGGTCCGCCGGCGACACGAGATCTACTTTGTTCAGCAAAATCATGTCTGCAAACCTGCAATGTCTACAAACTCTGCGGCATGCAAACGGACTGGTGGAGCAACTGATAGACTGAAGAACTTTTAAACGTGGGTGAATGGATGGTGAATGGGATAAACAGTCGCCTATAAAGACAAATACCACCAAACTATAAACTATCATCAGCTGGTGGATGTCCAGAAACCCTGTATGTCTTTAGGTGGTGACATGACACCACTTTAATAGATGGGATTCCTTCCTACTAAGAGCACAGAAACATGTGAGCCTGTTCAAAAAATGGCTTTGATTGATTCTTCCACTCGCTTTCGATGTCAACCAGCAGGGTAGCTCCAAGAGACGAAAAGAGTCCGACCCCTGGAGTCCAGTGACACACCAAATGGGTCACCAAATGGTCTACTGTATTACAGTATATCTCAAAGACCCCTGGAGTCTGGACTCTCCTCTCCTCCCTCCAAAAAAGGATCAACCACAACTCCTTGGGGTCAAATGGGGGCGTTCTGTGGAGGCGAACTTATACATACTCAGCTTGCGGTTTCTGATGTTTTTCTTTGGACGCCACATCCCAAAACCCCCAATCCCTCCCTGGCACCGCACCGCCGCAGCCAAAAACACCCTCCAAGAAGCTCCACTTGGTCGAAGAGCAATCCAGCAATCCCTCGCTGATCCTCCTCATCCGCCTGCCACTGGCGGTCGCTCAAGGCCTCTTGGCTAGACATCTCCTTCAAAAAGGTAGAGCAATCCACCACGGTGACGAGGTTCTGCAGCTGCGCCACCTCAAGGGGTCGGTCCAGTCGAAGAGTCGAGAGGTGGAGAGGTCGAGTCGAGTCGAGTCGAGTCGAGTGGAGTCGAGTCGAGTCGAGTCGAGTAGTCGAGTCGAGTGGTCCACCGAAGCGAGTTGTGCATCGAGTAGACGTCGTGGCTTCCTTTCATGTCATAACCCCCACTGACCCAATCCATCTGGGCTTCCATCCATGGGTGGGTCAAAAAGGATCAGAGTACCCGAAAGTGGACCACCTGTCCACCCCGTTTTTCCACACCGTTTCTCCATCTGGATCCCAGCACCCAATTCACCACCTCTTCCCTCTTCCCGCCCACGCGCCATCACGCGCCCACGCGTTATACGTCCGCGCCAACGCACCCGTGTTTCCCACCTGGCTCAGGGAGGTCCCGTTGTCTTCGAAGGTGAAGGTCTCGGCCACGGGCAGCGGTTCGGAAATGCCGGAGGATTCCACCAGGGCATAGTCGAACTGCTCCTGATGAGCGATACTGCGACAGCTGTGCGAGCGCGAGAGATGGCTGTGCGATAGCTGTGCGATGAACAGCAATTGAGAGGGGAGGAGAAAAGAAGGAGCGGAAGGGGGCGAGGTCAGTGGTGAAGAGCATACGGTACCATATACAACCATTTGATTGACATATTTTGGGTCGTGTCATGTAGTGTCTACATTCAGGGCGAACTAGGGTCCCACAGTTTGAAGCGGCATCACGCTGGATACTTCAGTTCTTCTGGGCATGGAACTGCCGTGGTCGCGACCAACGGATATCATCTACACCCCATCTTGCCGGATGAGCATCCAGAATCAATTGTGCCAAGATAGATTGCAAAGGATTTGGCTCAAAAGGATCAACCCAAGAATGCCTACAGTGTATACAGCTTCCACACCGCCCACGTGCCCGAGTATCGCGTCCTCTTTGGCCAACGATCTCAATCCAAGCAGTAGATCCTCACGGAGGGTGCAGCAAATGCAACCATTGGAGAGTTCAATCATCTGCTCGTCTTGACGGAGCAACTTGGCTCCATCCAGCTGTATGGCGTCCACGTTCACCGAGGCCATGTCATTTACGATGACAGCGATCTTTAAACCCTCGCGGTTTCCCAGCAAATGGTGCAGCAAGGTGGATTTGCCCGCGCCCAGGAAGCCTGAAAGCACCGTCACCGGAAGCTTTCGAGTAGGCGTGGACAGCGTGGACAGCTCGATGGCGCTCTTGAAGTCCGCCTCAGGCGGCTTCATGCTCGGAAGGCTCAAGATGCTCTCGGTCCACTCCTGTCCAAACACGCCCCCATGCTCGATGGGAAGGACACCTGCCGCCGCTGCATTGGCCAAGACCAACGCCGCAGTGTGCAGAGCGCGGACCTCATTAGGTCGCTGGCTCAAAGCATGCAGAGCTCTGGGCCAAGTGTACCAATCATAGAGATCCTCGTGGTCTGAAACGTCGTACTCCTCCAAAGGACCTGCTGGTGGATGGACAGCTCTGAAGCAAATCATGTCTATACGGTTGCCATGGCTTCCGTAAAGAGCTATAGGAGGCACTGGAAGTTGATCTATCTCCGAGCCTTCTACCTCACAGAACTCTTCCACAGAGCGGAAGGCTGTCCGTATCACTTCCTCATCTGCCCCAGCTTCGATGGAGGGAATGCGCGTGCCCTGCCATTGTGGTGGGCTGCCCAAGCTCCTGATCAGAATGCAGCGATTGCCACGAACAACGAAGGCCGCCACTTCGTTCGCTTGGGCAGTTACATCCTCTGGAGCGTTTTCCACTGGCGTCTCATCCAAATCCACCATTGAAGTGATATCTTCCAAGTCAGCCCTGAGCTGTTTGCTTCGGGGATCCACCTCAATGGTCAATTGACTCACAAACATCACTTCTCCCAGCTCCTCGTTCACCGCGCCGTCTTCCTTCACCTCCTCGCCTCCGCCCAGGCCGCGCGCCAGGGCGGTGGTGAGGTCCTCGCAGACGGCGTGCGTCACGGCGCGGAAGGCGCCCTGCAGGGCGACGAGGCGCTTCTGCTGTGTGAGTTCGGAGTCGAAGATCACCTGGAGGCTTTCGGAGAGCTGCGACTTCACGGTGAGCGTGTGGTTCACACAGGACGCGGGCAGGCGTGGATGAATCAAGACTAAGCGCTGCACGGCACCAGGGAGCAAACGAGAACTACACAGTAACTTCAAGGCCAGCTGTGCGGTTCCCTCTGGGGCGACTAAGGTGGCGCCATGTAAACAAAGCCGCTCCAGGGCCCGCGCGGCTTTGGTGGCGATGCCTTTCTGGAGCTTCTCAGCTGCGCCTTCATCGTCCAGCACTTTGGCAATGGATTCGGACATGCCAGCGCAGGTGGGATACAAGTCCAGCAAAATGACAGCACGTGGCACGGAGGTGCCGCTTCTTCCAAAGAGTTGCTTCATCTGCGCCAGCACTTCTTTGCATGCTTGGAGCTTGTCTTCAGTGATCTCTGACTTTTCGGGAAGATGGAGCAGCACAAGAATCTCCCCTTTCTCCGGGGACGCTCCAATCAGGTTGGCTTTCGGTGGGCCATAGCCCCTGCTAAACACAAAATAGCGTGGTCGGTCCCAGCTCTCTTTCTCGCTGGGCGCCACTTTCGCTTTGCGCGACATGTGAGCGCCGTGGCTTCCCCAGCTGAACCGGCTTCAAGCGGCGCAAAAGCACGGTCTATACAGATGGCGTCGAAGATGTGATTCGGTGTTCGGGCTCCAGGTCTTGACCAATCCCATCCAATCCCCATATCATGGAAAGGACTCTGTATGTGAGATCAGCGTTGCTGTTGTCCTTTTCTTTGCAAAAAACCTGGTCATTCCTTCAGGACGTACAAAGATGTACCAAGTTCCTTTCTTACTCTCAGCTTTGGGAGATCCCTGAACTCTCCCCCCAAAACAATGGACCCACTTCACATCAAACAAAGCAAAGAACATCCAGGACATCCCCAAAAAGAAGACAACTCTCCAAGTCAGCCCTTGTTTCTTTCGCCCGCTGAAACGGGAGCCTGGAGCCTCTCTTCGTCCACCGCCGCGACTCGGTGCAGCGGTGTCAAACCGGTAGATCCGGAGCGAGGATCCGGGCGAGGTGGTTGGGGGGGTGTTTTGGGCCACACGGCGTTCGGCGTGGGCGCTTGGCACCAGCTAAGATGGCGAAGGTGGTTTGGTAGAAGCTGAAAGGGGTACACTAAGGTCACGAGATGTTGAGAGATAGCACAGATTTGGTGGGCGAGAAGCCTAGTAAATCCTCCAAGAGTGGAGATTTGGTGGGCAGCGCGGCAGCGCCCTGTAGCGGCACTAGACCACGCACAGGCGCCTTCTTTCTACGTTTGAAGCCAAAAAGAACAATAGCTTCAAGGAAAACAAGCCAACCCCTCCCCAAGGTCTTTTGGAGCGCGATTGGGATGGCCAAATGGTTTGGAATGGACCTTTTTTTCCAATATATCTCAAAGCTTTCTTGGGAGAGGTGAAAACTCCTCAAAACCCATTCAATAGGGTGGTGCTGGTGCTTTTGTCGGAAAAGAATGTAGTCAACTTCAATCAAAAAAGTGTTGTCAGCTGGGGATATGGCTATGGGATGCTACGGATCAAGGGCAAACAACAAAAACAAGACATCCAAGCAAAATCAGCAAAAGTGTTCAATATGTTGTCCTTCCATGTTGGAGTCAAAGCTTTCTGTCCTCTTCACCGTGGACGAAATAGCAAAAAAAGAACGACTTTCACGATAAAACCAACCGAGCCATGGTTTTGCATGGCCTCTCTTGTTCTTTCAGACCCACCCGACTCAAGCTGGCCCTTTTGTTGTGGTTCCTGGCAACAAGTCTGGGCAACGCCACCGAGCCACCAGCGAGGGCGGCTGTTCAAACAACCTCGGAAAGACTCGACGAAACCCTCCACTTGCTTTCTTCTGCGAGTTCTGGCACTCGTGCATCCATGCATACAACAAGTTCCAAGTCCTGCACCACCTTTACAAACCAAAAACACTAAAAACACTCATCCACCGGTGTCGTTTCATAGAGCCCGCAAATGGTGCCATGTCGCTAGGTGCCCCGGCCTCACTGTTCATCTGCTGATCTGAATGGGACGGTCCTGCAAGCTTAGCCAGAAGACGTTGGTCATGTCATGTCATTGAGCAATTCCCTAGAGGATGCCAAAGGTAGATGGTTAAAAGTGCAGGTTTTAGTTGCCATATTTAAGATGCCATAGGTGTGATTATTTTGCAACTTTACAAAGGCAAACCTTGCACTTTTTGCACGAAGACCCGTGTCCAAGTCCGGTATCTCCAGTGGACCATTCCGCTTTTTCATCTCGGTGCATCTCGGTGCGATGGGGCGAGGTCTTCCTCACTCCCCAAACACCGAAAAAGCACGAGGGTCGGCTCTCTTTCGGTCTGCTCAAGTAGACACTTGGTCGGCTCTCTCTCTCTCTCTCTCTCTCTCTCTCTTTCGGTCCTTCTAGCGAGGACGTTCACCTCCCAACGGCTCCGCGGAGCTGCTCCGCGGAAGCGCGGAAGCAAGCGCGGAAGCAAGTGTGGTGGCGCCCGCGGAGGGAAGGGCACCATGGAGGCTGACCACGCACAGTCGAGCAAATCAGATATGTCGAGGAGTCGAGTGCTGTGTCTACATTGATGTTCACTGCGACCCTTCAGTGATGTGTCTTGGATGGGTAACATGCAATCAACGGCCTGATCTTGCTGCACGGAATCTGGCTATCAGCAGGATGGAGGTGGTCTGTTGGTGCATGAAAATGCATAAAATGAAGGTCGAAATTGCTGGCATCCTTCGCATCTTTGCTGTCTTCAAACGCAAACCCCGTAAGATTTGTGCCCTGTTCAAATTGCAAGCCTTTGCTGAAGCCAAAAGGCGTTGCAATGCCTTTATCATCAACAGTTCCATCTTCAAACCTGTCCGTTCACCCTTTGACTGGTTGGATGAACAGCAATGATACCTAAGGCAAAACCAACGGCAAACCCCGCGCCAGCAGCATCATGGAAGCCTTTCTTTCCAACCCAAAGGGTCGCGATCGCAAAAACATCCAGCTGGCACCGCGGCGGCACCGCAGCGGCCAGCGGGCAGCGGCCAGCGAATGGGCGCAGTCGGACTCCAGGAGCAGCGTCTTTCTTTTAGACCTTCCAAATCTTCCGCCGTCCGCGTGCTCTTCAGCCCGAGCCAAATCTTCATCTTCATCGCGGACATCGAGTCTCGGCCGGGCACGCCGTGGTCAGGGGCTTTCAAGCCTCGGTGGTCAGGGGTCAGAAGCCAATGGCCAAAGAACAAAGGTGACCTTTGTCGATTGTGGTTACGTGGATGGCACCAGGATGTAGAGCAGAAGGCATCTCCAGATGTCTCAAGAACCATGTGCCAGGGTCATGGCCAGTAGGTGTTCCAAAACATCTTCTTAGCATGTTCTGACCATCTTTGGACAGTTGAAGACATGATGAGATATGAAGCATGCTGAACCGGAGGGGCTGGAGGTCCAAACCAGGAATGATAAGACACTTTTCGATATGATGAACCAAAGCATTGCGCTGTGGGATCAGGCGAACAAAGAACATTGCATAAAAGCACGTGAAAGAAACACTCAACATTCTGTTCAATCCCCGTCTCACATTGCACAAAAATGCTAACTAACCACCTCATATCTCCACAAGTCCATCCATTTCCCCCTCCCCAACATCCCAAAAAACTCAGAAGACTCCCACTCTCTCCCCACCCGCCCTGCCCAGCGGCGTGCCGGCGCTGTCCACCTCCTGTCGCTGCTGCGACTGCGCGCTGTGGAGCCGCAGCTTCGTGCCGCTCTGCGTCCTCCAACCGATGAGCGCCTCGGGTCGCGGGGTCGAGAGAGGTCTCGATAGCGAATGGGAATAGCCCGTGAAAAGGAAAATCGAAAACAAACAAACTACAAACAACAGTTGCTCAAGGTATAGCCCGTCTGTGTTTCAGCTTAACCTCTATGCTTCTGATTGAGGTACAAATGAACCCTCATGAATCCTCTTCTCTGCCCATCCCTCACGTTGGGTCCGTCTTCGCTGCTTCCACAGCACCAGCTTCACAGCTCCCTCTACGGAGATCCTCCGAGCGTCCACCTGCGTCGAACGAACCGGTTCAATTGCGTCCGGTGATGCCACGGGGGCCGCGTTTGTGCGGCGCGGGACCGTTTTTGGGGGGTTTGGATTACAGTAGTACGTTGTTTTTTCATGGGGTTTGGCGGGCGCTTGCTTTTCGCGTTGGTTGGCTAAGCCCTAAGTGGAAATGGTTACGTTACCACATATACCAAGACACCCCAAGGGGTCACCAATTATTTTTTTTTGATGATGCTAAGGGGTCATAATTGGACACCCCTTAAGAAACCAAACATGACATCCACAAAAAATAGGCCTTCCCTCTCCAAACACCCATCCCGCTGCTGGGCGGCCTGTGCAACATCAGCTTTTGCAACAGAGGTGGTTCCGGCATGTTTCCGCAATGGGAGGGAAGTCGAAAGGAGACAACACATGGATCTATGGTATGATCATAGGTAACATCTCACTTCTCACCCATTTGCCTCAACCAACGGCAGCAAACATATGCTGCATACCTGTCCAGGCATTGTCTGCCAAGACCCAAAGGGTGGCTTCGCTTAGCGAGTCCCTTAATCTTGCCGATGTAATCCTCATCAGCATAGCAGCTTACCACCATCGGGTTCAACCATTGCGCAGCATCGGATACTAGATGTTCTAGCCTTAGGTCGGAGTCACGTCCACACACAAGTCAATTGAGGTTGCATCAAGCCTAAACCAACAATTGGTACCAAGAAACTTGTGCATTTTCGGCCTGACTTTCCATAACATTCTTTTCTGTTCAATGGCCTCCACAGCCAATCCTGAATATACAAGAAAAGGTTTTAAGAGCCAAGTGGAGCTAGCAGCTAGCTGTCAAGTACAACAAGAGCCAAGATTCGATTGTGCGCAGATCTGAAAAGGAAATGTGATCGCTGAAGTGCAGCCAGGTTTTGTCGAGGCAAGATGATGGGATATCTTCCACAATTCTTCGGGGAGATTGCTTCCCTCATCAAAACCAGATTCACAAAAATTGCTGCGCGGAGCCTTGGCACATACCAGCTAGCAAAGTCCAGGAACACTTTGTAAGTTGACAACACACGACCACAAATAAAACAAGTGACGCCGCATGTTCATTGGTTGGATCATCTGCGGCTATCTTCAGACAAATGCCCTTCAACCATATTGCAAGCACCCCAGATTCCTCACATTACAAACACAGACACTGAAAATCGCGTGTGCTGGTGTACGAGAGTACGCATACCAAGGGTCGGCCCCATTGAAGTGCTTTTGCACCAATGTTGGAAAGTTTCCCAGCCCGAGGGGATACATCGACTTCCTGAGATGATATCCAGCGTGCAGTGAAAGTTGCACCCCACAAGATGAAAACACCTGTACTATACACAGTGACCATACGCTTGCTAAGGTTCACATTGAACAGTTGTCCCCGGTTGCCTGCACTCTTCAGACAACTACAGAAACAACAAATGCGAATCATAGCTTCATGGTAAAAAGCCAGGTCACGGACTCCGTGTTGTCTACAGGCCCGGGCGAAGTCTACAAAGGCAAGCCGAAGACGCTCATCTTGGGATTGGCCACACCAGATCAATGATGTCTCAGTGATCTCGATCAAAGCCTTTGTTGGGGCCACATGGCAGGTGAGAGAAATGCACAGGCACAGAAAAACACATCAAGTTTATTGCTCCATTTATTCAAATTGCTGATGCAGCCGCCTCCGGAACTATGGCAAGGTCTACCAGGTGAAGCCAGTCCAACAACAAACACTGGACATGAAAGCCCGGCAAACGGACCCATGGTCCATTCCGACAGCCAGTCGTTAGGAAGCCTCCTGGCTTTTGACTGTCATTCGATGGGGGGCAGCAGGACCAAACTTGGTGTATATCAGGTTTCCTGAAGATGAAGCATCACAAAAGGCACAGACACCATGGCTGACCCATGATTGCACCAATTTCAGCGATCTTTGGGCGTATTTCTCATCGCCCTTAAAACAGACCAGCACACCCTTCCAAGGGCCAGCTACAGCTCCCTTCCAGCCCCCCTCAAAAGGCACGCCGTACGGGTCGCAGTCCAAGAACTTGCCCAATTGTAGTTCCAAAAGGGACCACACCATCCATTGGTCCAATGTATCATATGTCTCTGTCAAAGCCCGCTGAACATCCATCACATAGCACACAAATTTTGAGTCCCATGGTGAGGCCGATACCACCAAGGAGCTCACTGTCGTGACACAGAAAGATCGCCTCCTGTGGGCGTCTGCTTCATCTCCATGAAAAGCCAACGGAATAACTCTTGAGAGATCCGTTTCCTTATGAACAACATTTCACAAAGTATACCATGTGTTCACGCCCCAAGAAGACACACAAGGCATACCTCGAGTGAAGGCACTGGATCACTTAGAACTGGATGCTGCTTGACGAAATCAGAATCCTTCATATGATGCCAGAAGGCCTCAATAGCCTTAGGTCCAAATAACAAAAGCTCGGAATTAATGCAAAGCAAACATCCAGGTCCAGGACACATGAAAGCTGCCTGCCCAAGGCACACCTGGAGGACCCAATAGGCGATCCGTAAACAAAATCTCATCATAATGATAAAGATGGTGGATTCTTAGTTCATGCCACCATGACACAATTCAGTGCTAGAAAACAAGATGGGTGTCAATTCTCCAAGTGTTTGACCAGGAGCATGTCTGAAGGGAGAAAGACATGCCACGTCTCAATGTAGTGGGGCTCCACCCTTGATCGATCCAAGAGGACTACATCGATCCTGGACAATGGACCGTACCAATCAAACTCAAACCCAGAAAATGGACCCTGCAACTTTTCTGTGAACAATGGACGGATTTGTTGAAAGCCAACAAAAAGCTAAGAGTCTCTTTGGCAAGAGGAAGCATTTTCCTCCAACTTTGCTTGCGCAGCCACCTCCAAAATCTGGTTGCAGCATGATCAGGGTCGGACTTAAGATCGCACAGTTGCTTCAAATTGCTCCTCGAAGAACAACCACTGGAAGCGACAAACCCGATTCCCAAATGTTCCACTGGACGCAAAGCCTGCCAAGTGACGGGAGATGCTTTCCTGGTATCCTCTTTCGCAGCACTTTGCATAGAGATACCAATGTATTTGTCGCCACCTCACCAAATTCAAGATCTTCCCACATCATACCAACAAGCCCTTGACAGAACACATTAGGAGAGCATGTGCACTCCCAGGCACATCACGGGTAAGCTCGAGAAATTCTTCCACAATATCCATGCAATCCAGCGTTGGTCTTCAAGCTGGACATCCCAAAAGTATATGTGTGGTTGATGTTCCCTGAAGTGCTAAGAGACTGTATACAAGGTTGCCCGTGCATGATTTCATGCGGCTTTCCCTTAGTCTTTCCCTTTTCAATAGTGGCAGATGAACCAGTAGTAAAGCGAAAACTGACACTTGGTTGAAAAGGGGCCCAGTGTGCGATGACAATGTTTCGAATGGAACATGCACCAGTGAAGAAAACACAGTTGACTGTTAACAATTCGAGGCCTTGTGCAAGTACAACTTTTCTCCATGGTTCCATGGATCTCGATGGCTAGTGGTCAGTGTTGGCATATCCAACAGCCACCACACACATCCAGCCAGGATCGAGCTGCGCTATTTTGGCAACCCATTGGCCCGGCAAGCCCAGTGATCCCATCGCTAAGTTTCGGAGACCATCGCTAATCGGGGTGCACCAGGTAATTGTTTCTTGAACAGGGGTCACCTTTTCCTAGCATCCAAAGAACTCAGAGGTTGACCACCAAAAAGGAACCCCAAGGCTTGGGTCTCGACAATGCTCTTGCAGGTGTTGCAAGGCATTAAGTTGAAGCACGACCAGGGAGAACAACAAAGGTTCCGATAATATATTATCATTGCAACGAGTGTAGTATTGTGCAAAATATGTGTTTTTTCCCCAAATCCCTGGGTGCTTGCTTTGAACCCCTAATCGGAACGACCATCATCGCTCCCACAAGAACCATCAGCCTTTGCTTTTTTCTTTTTGGGTTTGGCTGCGACCACTCGACGCTTTGCATCTTTCAAATCGGAATCCACGGGCTTACATTTTTCTTTCAACATGTTGACCATCCCCAGCAAGTCCTCAGGGTCCACCTGGCTCAGTGGTACCTGCAGCCGGTCTTGAGAGTCAGCGTACAACTTCTCGACCTTGGGCATGTGATCCTTCAAGCATTCCACCTGAGATTACAAAGTGTTTCTTTTTGTAACATTTCATTGTTAAGGCATGGGAGGGTCAAGAAGCCCAAGAAGCCACACAAAATGCCAACAAGGCACAAGTTCTGCAGAGTTCCTCACATTGTGTTCTTTCATATCCAACTGCACAGCTGTGAGGTCATTGATAATTCCCTTCAACCTCGGAGAACCCGTCGAGTCTCGAGTATTGGTGTGTACAATGTGGTCTATCAACATTGAGGCCCAAAACAATATGGATGAGAAAACTATTTGCATGGTGAGAATCTTTTTGTCGATCTTTTTCAGTTCTCCCATGGCTTCTTCTGCCGGAGATTTTTCTTTCTTTGGTTTCTTCACTTTTATTGCTCCGGTTTTGAGATCCATGAAGGAGACATCATCGTTCATGAGATTCCCAAGTTGCTTTTTCAGAAGGTCTTTGTGTGCACTTTCTCGGACCCTTCCTGATAGCTTCACCTTAGATCATACCATCCCATTGGTTCTGCGGTGAAATGGAATCTGTTGGTTGAACTGTCAGCAAGAGTGTTTATTTCAACAAGTCACACCACTTTCTGTTGACTGCCCAGTCGTCTTGTCTTCTACCACCTCCTTCAGCACTTTGTATAAACGTGCTTTCTTGATGTTTGGTGCCTGTGGATGAGGCACACCTTGTTGACCTAGACAGCCACAATACAGGAAAACAAGATTTGGTGAAGAGCAGGTTGATCAACACCATGCTTACTGATTGATATTCGAGGCACCAGTGATGAGCTGTTCGATGAACTCTGTTGCCTCTTTGCTTGTTCCAAATAGCTTCTCTAGCTGGAAGACTGTAACCTAGGACGCACAGATCCAATTAGATGTCAAAAAACTAGCAATTGAAAACAACCTCATACGAACACAACTCACAGAATAGGAATGGGGACCCCACGGTCACGTACCGGTCTGTCCGGAGATTGGCCACCCAGCTTCGGTATTTCTCTTCCACCTCTATCGAGTCGAGGTCTGGATTTTGCAGCCAAGCCTTCAGCATACAGAACCTCAGATACGCCGTGCCTTGGCCTCAACAAACATGATGGGCCAAGTGATGGGTGATACTCAGGGGCTCACCATATGTTCACCACAAACCATTTAGCCCAGCTACCGCTCTTTGTCACTGCATAGCCCAAACTTGGCAACCAGGGCTGGTGGGGCATCTCGGGCAATCGCACGTCGAAGGGCAGAGTATTGGCGTTTGCGCTCCTAAGTGGGGGAAAGCAAAACATGGAGCCAGCCAGACAGATAAGTACCACAAGAACCAGGGGCAGCCAAGGCTCACCTCGGTCCATATCACTCGGCTTTTGCATGTCAGCCACAGCCTTCTTCTGGTCGTCGGACAAATCAACTTGTCGTTTCTGTCTTGAACCAGAGGAACTAGATATAGTAGTGGAGAGTGGTGTCGATGAAGACGATCTCTCCCCAGGAGAATCCTAGATGGTAGACAGGTCCAGGCCACAAAGATGATAAAGGGATACTGAACCTAAACATACCAAAACCAAACCTTGGGACTTGAAGGGAGCAGTTCACCGCTTTCAAACGAGCATCAAAGTTCAGCTTCTTGGGATCCGGGGATGCCAGATCCATCAAGGCGGTGATACTTTCGATGGTTCCTTGCCTCTCAACCAAATTCTCCTGAGGCATTCAAGAGTCAAGCGCCCAAAACATTCAAGAAAGGGCTTGTTTCGTCCTACTATATTATATCACGTTTTTTGCATTTCATGAGAAATGTTAAAACCATATGGTTTGAACCCAGGAACCCAAAGAAGCCAACCACACCTGGCTTCGAGCTTTCTTGGTGTTCACCTCTGGCTGTGGTTCTCCTTCACGCTTTTCACCGGCTCCTCTTTCTTTTGGCTCCTCGAAGTGCTGCTCCTTGGACGTTTTCTTCCTTTTCTTTTGGGCTATCTCCTTCTCCTGAACCTCAGGCCCATCCTCCTTCTCCACATTGCTCTTGGCCTTGCCCTCGTCATCCACCTTCTTGCTAACATTATTCTTTCTTTTTTTGTCTTTCTTCTCTGGGTCATCTTTTGTCACATCACTTCCCTTGGTGGTATCCTCTTTCTTCGCTTTCTTTTCTTTACCTCCGTCCTCATGCTTCTTGGACTCCTCATTGGGCATCTGGCTGCCATTGCTTACATCCTCCTGCATTTCTTTCTTCTTCTTCTTCTTCCCTGAATCCTCCGGTTTCTCCTCAATCTTCTTTGGCTCTGCTGGGGACGTGTCTTTCGTATCTTTCTTCACCTTCTGCTTCTTCTCTTCTGGCTTCGTCTCTTCTGGCTTCTTCTCTTCTGGTGCCGCATTTGCCTTCTCATGTTTCTCCTCCTTCTCAGTTTGTTCCTTCTTTCTTTTACCTCCGTCCTCATGCTTCTTGGACTTCTCCTTGGTCTTCTGGTTGTCCTTGCTTACATCCTTCTGCTTCTCTTTCTCATTCCCGCCTGAATCCTTTGGTTTCGCCTCAGTCTTCTTTGGCTCAATTGGTGGCGTGTCTTCCTTCACCTTTTGCTTCTTCTCTTCAGGCTTGTTCTCTTCAGACTTCTGTTCTTCAGGCTTATCTTCAAGCTTCTCTTTTGGTTTATCTTCTGGCTTCTTCTCTTCTGGTTTCTTATTTGCCTTCTCAGTCTCCTCCTTCTTCTCAGGTTTGTTCTTCTTGCCTTGACCTCCGTCCTCCAGTTTCTTGGACTCCTCCGTGGTTTTCTGGGTCGAGTGTCATTCCTTTTCATTCCTTCTTTCTCAGCTCTTTTGGCAGCTCGACGCTCATGGATTTTCTTCTCTATCCTGGCACCTTCATCACTTAGGCGTTCGAGCTCTTTCACGGAAACGCCCTCACTCTTCTTTTCTTTAAGAGCAGCATGGGCTGTTTGCTCATCGGTCTTCTTTCCTGGATCCTCTGGTTTCTCCTGAGTCTTCCTTTGTTCCACTGATGAGGTGTCTTGCTTCACCTTGCGTTTCTTCTCTTCTGGCTTCTTCTCTTCTGGCTTCTCTTTTGGCTTCTTCTCTTCTGGCTTCTCTCCTGGTTTCTTCTCTTCTGCCTTCGTTTCTTCTGGCTTCTTCTCTTCGGGTTTCTTATTTGCTTTATCTTCCTTATCGTTTTGTTCATTCTTTCTTTTGCATCCGTCCTCATCCTTCTTGGACTCCTCCATGGTCTTCTGGCTGTCCTTGCTTACATCTTGATGTGTGTTTTTCTCCTTCTTCGCTGAATTCTTTGGATTCTCATCAGGTTGGCGAAGTGTCTTTCTTCACCTTGTGCTTCTTCTCTTCAGGTGTCTTCTCAGGCTTCTTCTCTTCAGGCTTCTTCTCTTCAGGCTTCTTCTCGTCTGGCT